TCGTGTTTTTATCCCTTTTGAGGTGGCCATCCACGGTGAGCTCGCCGAACCGCCGAACCGGTGCGATGCAACGGCCTCGCGGCCTCGCCTCCTCAATGGCTGCGACTCCGGCGACGGAGCACTTGCCTGTCGCCCGAGTCCCGAGTCCCGAGCCAGGGAGTCCGGATGCATTCGTTTCCCTCAAAGGAGAAGAACCATATGGCTGTGGCTCAAAATGAATGAGCTAGGGCAAACAGCAGGTTTTTAGTCTTTGGTTCCATTTACCAAAGGCCCATTTTAAAGTACTTTTTTTTGAGCCACAGCCATATAACTCTAGACTTGCACATATCAATTAGATAACGTGGAGTCAAAGGTGTAAGACCCCCGAATTTTTCGGAAGGAGTCTCCCGAGTCTGAGACATGCGATATGGCCCCCCCAACAAAAAAATGAGGCAAGAACATCTCTAAGACTAAAAGGGCCCGCGACCAAAAGCACTCGCTACTTGTTACACTTTTTTGAGAGGATGAAAGGGGATCAACCTCCCATGTTTGTCGCTGGGGGAGTAACCCCAATTTTGAAAGTTGAGAAGGAGACGGTGGATCAATCATGTCTTCAATTTTACCGAGGACGCTCCGATTATCAGGGTTAAGAAATGCTGCAGGGTTGTCCGGATTGACATGAACATGCTTTTCCAAAAGAACACAATAGGACACCCCCAATCAATCAACCGATTTGTTGAACCTTCCCATTCGTTGGGAGCATTGTCTAATCCACACCCATAAAACCGAGCGAGCCACCCAAAACCAACTTCAATTCAATGGGCTTCCTCGGCTTCCCACCGACAAATCCAGGCCCAATCACGCAACAAAAATAACTTGGTTGACATTGAAAGGGGAGCAAACATTTAATTTTTTTTGTTAGGTGGGAATTTCCCACTAAGCCACCATAAGCAAAAATGAAAAATGTTTCCCAACGAGAACCATAAGAGGAGAATCCCTACCGACAAAACCATGTGGAACTGGCTGAGGAGCCGTGTCAGGGGCTTCCCGCAGCTCTGATTCTCCGTGCTCCAAGACCGATACTCGAGCTACAAAACCGAGCCACCCGAAACCGATCTGGCAAATATGGGTCGCTCATTTGCCAGCTGACACAAGAATCAGCCTGGCCTCTCTGCGTCTTCCGGCGCTTCCGCATTCAGGAAGGTGTTTCCTGATAAGGCCATCAATCAGTCTGACAAAGTCTGCAAGCTTCCCAGGCAAACGGCACTGGCCAGCTCCAGTTTAAGTCGCAAACGGCAGTGGCCAGCTCCAGCTTGAGTCTTAACACTTCCCAGCTTAGCAAGAGATTCAACCTGAAAGTTTACTTCCACTTAAGGTGCCATTCCAATATAAGGCTTGTTCTCAGCCATGACTGTTTCTTTGCCCGCATCTGTCAATCCTGGGGAACATGAGAAATTAGATCTGCTCAGATTCTGTGTCATGTTTATACTCTAAAAACATCGTCTTGGGATTGGAGACTCATGTCCGCCCCCCCCCAAAAATAATAATAATAATAACACAAACAACTGGGAGCATGCCTTTAAATTCGGTTCGGGTGTCCCCGGTGCAGACCAGACAGGTGAACCATTTGGGTTGCCAAGGGAGAGCCAAAAGACCTCAGATTCGCTCCACTCGCTTTGCTGCCAAGCAGCGCAGCCGAATGTGAAAGCCGGTCGCCTCGTCATAGACAGCCTCCAAGAAATGAATGGGCGGGTGTTGATTGCAACACTTGCCCCATGGACAATCTTTTTGCGGACAAAAGAGCCTTTCGTACAAACAAGCGTGGCGCTGCCTTTTTTTGGATTGATATTCAGCGGAACAGGTTGAACACCACACTGCGGAAGCTCAAAGCATCCCCACTTCTCAAGCCACAAACACCAAGGATATAGCTTTCAAATTTTGACTGGAAGCCAGGTCTCTTCACCGAGCCCCATTTATATGCAGCCGGCATTTGCTCCCTACTCCGAAATCCGGCTTTTTACGGGTATCATGTCAACCCTCTTCTAGACGTTGATTCCGCATTCTCTTCACCCATGGGTCCTCTGTAGAAACCACCCATTTTCACAAGGGGTTGCACATGTCTTGAAGAGAAGGATCCCTGAAGAGAATGGGGAAGGTAAGACCTCTGAGAACGTTACGATATTTACCATGGAATCGGATTTTCAAAAACATTTCAGGATATGTGGAGGGCGTCCTTTCGCCGGCGCGGCGCTTGCGCGGCGCTTGCGTGCGCCAGCGCGCCTCCCTTGCGGGCGTTGTCAAAAGCCTAAGCTGCCGTTGGCGCATCACACGAGCACCCACCGACGGTTGCGAAATCCGGAAATCGCACCAGGTTTCTGATTCGACTCCCCTGTGAATACCAACTGTTTTCACAGTGGCGCGAACGGGTTTCGTCCATCAACAGTATTGTCTTTTGGTTCTACCAATATCTGGCCCCGTTGTTTTGTCAATCAAAGCCCTAAGTGGTAGGTTGAAGACGGTGGTTTAACTTTGATAATCTGCAAAAACTGGCTAATTGTGAAGGTTCCTGGAGTCTCCCTCTGACCATTAGCAAAATAGGAAGTCATGATCCCTTAATTTTTGGTAACCCCATTATTGACGGGTCGGAATGTTGTGACCACTGTAACCTCCAAAACGAGGTACGAAGCGAACCAAAGGCCAATTGGAATCGGGTCTCGTTGGCCGATCACATCGGACATTTGAGCAGCGGGCAATTCTACTTGATGTGGTTCATGTGGCAGCGGAAAGCAGGTCAGGGGCATATACAGGGCACGTCAAACAATGGCATTTACTGCGTGGTCGTTTTCATAATCCATGTGCATGCCTTTTGGCATCACGCTATGCCAAGTGCGCAGTTGGGAAAAGCCACACCGTGCACCATGTTGAGACTTGTGCACGCACTCCCCAATATACCCTACGATGACCAACAGGCGACCAATCAAAACAATTTGCAAATACATGCCAGTGAGCATTGCCATGTCAAGAGACCTTGAAGAACGTACGCATTCCAATGATCCCAGTCATGCCAAGATTGAAAACGTGACATGTTCACATGCATGCACATTCTCGTGAACCCATGCCACAATGCGGCCCTTCATTCAATCGCATGTGTGGGACAGCTGGGAAACCAATCCCCTCGAGGGCCGCCTCCGTCGAGTGCTATGTGGGAGGGAGGGGGTTTTAACCACTTCCAAGTTCAGACGTCTGAACGAGACTCTGTCAAGCTACATTGCAACCTGTGTGGCACACCGTTCACATTTCAAGCTCCCAAAGTAGTTCTTTTTGCCACCACATGCCACAACCTCCCATGCTCAAGCAGAACTCAGGCATCTCCATCTCTTGGGACATCTTGGGATGTCCCAGACGCCGTTTTTGCTGGGGAGGGATGAACCGAAGGCTATGCTATGGGACACCTTCTCGCTTCACGCAGACTAAGGACTGGGCCCCGCGACTGCTTCGCTGCAGGAATTTCTACGCACAAAACTTTGCGCCCCGAAAGCTCCCCCGAAAGCTCCCCCAAACACCCTGGATGTTTGTTGATAGATAGTATCATGTTAACCCTCTACCCAAAACAAAGGGATGTACCATACCGCTGGATTTAGGCAAGCTGCTGACCCTGGGAAAGGAAATGGCAAAAAAGCAACTCGTTTCAAACAGTCCTTGCATACCCAAATGGGTACGGTACAGTTGACATTAGGTTTGAATTCACAAGAGAATGGGTCACAATTGGGGCAAGCCACGTGCGAACTGATTGTTACTCGCTGTAAGTCCTGCTATGACATAAAATACCCTCGGCTCAACTGCAGCTGAAACGCTGCTTCTGGAATTCGCTCACCTCCTGCGCAGATTTCCAATGGGGCAAGCCGCTTACAAACTAGGCTACTACCATCCCCCTCCAAATACCTGCGTGTTTAAGGGTATGCTGTAAAGAAGCCTTGCTTCCATGCTAAATGCCTCATGATTAAGTACAGGGTTGACGTGATACTCTGAAAAAAGGGTGTGTTGAGTAGGGGGATGGTTGTAAGTCCCCAAAAGTCCCCTTGAAACATCGCCCAAAGGATTCTCATTGTGGCCCAAGCCCAGATGCTAAATAGGTTGACCGTCCATGAGCCTTCTAAGGAAAATCAGCCTTTGGAGCCTTGGACAGAGCTTTATAATTTGCCTTGTAAGGAGCTTTGCAAGCAGCTTCACAAGGAATTGCAGAAGGAGCTTGACAAGCAGCTTTCTATGGAATTTCATAAGTAGCTTTATAAGGCTCCTTAGAAGAAGCTTTATACGGAGTCTTATCAGGAGCTTTGCGAGGAAAAATCATGTGCAGTCAGGTTCTAATTTAATGGCACGTTAACATTGAATAACTGTCTTATTAAACTTCATTCATGGGCATGGTTTATTTACATCCAAATTGCAAACAAAACCAGTTGAATCATTCCCTGATTGCCTGATTGGATCCTGTGCATATTCTTGTTACTTTTCAAACACATATTGGAATATGACTATTCTTTATGTTCGCACTCAATATGGAAGTTATGATTGAATCAAACCCTTGTATTATGCTATCGAACTCAAAATTGAATTGCAAATTATTATTTTGGTATAAGAATCCTTATAAGGAGCCTTTATAAGGAGCCTTTATAAGGAGCTGTGTTCTGGAGCTTCATAAGGGGCAAGGAGCTTTGCAAGGAGCTTTATCACGAGGCTTAACTGAGCTCCATAAACAGCTTGATTTTGGAGCTTCATACGGAGCTTCCCAAGAAGCCCTGTAAGGAGCCAACAAAAACAGGCTGGTAAAACCAACGCCAAAAAGACAGATCTCCAAAGAATCTTTGGTTTCAGCCCCCCAAAATGGCAGTGGGTCAAAAAAATGATTCCCAACATGGAGCATATGGAACCTTGAAGTAAATGGAACCAAAGATTCCCAAAACCTGCGGTTTTCCAGTGGTTCAATTTCAAGCCACACGTGCAAATGCTTTTTCTTTGGGCTAGATTCCGCGCTCGGGCGCACCAGGCAATCAATTCCCACTCAGCAGAGTGCTTGATGTGCAAAACACAAAATACCACCGAGTGCCTTTTTAGTTGATGCCAAAAACAAAACAACTTGAACATAACAAAACCAGCACAATTCGAGAAAACCAACAAACAAGAAAACAAATCTCTGGGGGAGAATCTTTGGTTTTAGCCCAGTTGTTTGGTTATCTCACAGCTGTTTTTGCAGTTTGGAACGAGAAAGGCAAATAATCCACGAATCCAAGAGTCCGATATTGCGTGGCAGAAGTCTGGTGGTTGTGAAAATATTGGCTTCTTGGATTTTAAAGAGATTATTTTTTTTGTGGTCCCTAAGAAGTCTTGCTTTTTGGGCTGGAAAGCCACGAACACCCTAGGACATATTGCTTGTTGCGGGACCAAAAAAAACCCAAGGAAATCGTGTCAAAACCCAAAGGGTGTTCTTGGCTCTCCAGCAAAAGACAAATATTTCCTAGTAGGTGTTCTTTTCCTTTTTTAGCAAGAATCCCTTGGACAAAAAGAAACAGAGATCTCCACGCAAATCTATATTATTGGTTTTTTTAAAGGAATTCGTGTTTTCTTTCTCGTAAAACAAACTCAAACAACCAGGGGATTCTCAAGTTTTTCACTTGGGGATCTCCCTGAAAAACATGCTATTGTTTGACCCTTGCTTTTCTTGAAGCTTTCGTAGTTTTCTCGGGGAAGAAAATACTGGGAATCCTTAGATGGTATTTGCTGAAACCTCAAACAAAAATACCGATTTCTCTTGGTTGTTCAGTGGTTGGCGGTGTTTGTTTGTTTTGCCCGAAAAACCACCAACAGAGGCCAAGTGCTTGTCACTCTGTCTTTGCTTGTGGTCCCCAAGCACTCTGTCTTTGCATTTTGTGGTCCTTGGGGGACTTTTTGGAAAAAGAAGGTAGGTGCAAGAAGTTGTGAGCATAGAGCTCAATGTCCCGTACAGGGGGTGCACGGCCATCAAGTACTGGGCCAGCTCAAAGGTCGAAAGGCTATGGGGAGGGCGTAACTCCCTGAACCCAAGGCCTGAAAAGGGATAGGCTTAGGCTTATCCAGGGATAGCCCCATAGCCCCCCCCCAAGGGGTCCATGGAAAGGAATACTAAACCCATCATTACACAGGAAGACCACGCGCTTAGCCAGTTCAATTTCTTTGTTTTCGCAAAGGAATATCATGTCTGAACCACTAAGCAGTACTTTCTGGAAGACCACTTTAACAGGCCAGGCCAGGCTCTGGCCCCCCCCTTACTAATCTCGAATCTCTACTCTACCCCACATTGATTTTGAAGGTTCAAGCAAAGAGGACAAAGCTCAAGCAACGAAAGGAAATCCGGCTGGATGAAAAAAACAGATAGTTGAGCAGAATCGGGATCAACACCCACCTCCCCCAAGCGATTCCCATGGAAGCTCTCAGGACCCGCTTGAAAGACTTGGTTCCATTTACAGAGGTGAGCTTCCTCCTGTTAGTCTGAGGGACTGCGCCCATGTTTGGGTAACCCCGTGTTTTACCGGCTAGAAGGAGCTTCCATGATTGTCTGAGGGAGTGTAGGAGGACGAACCCCCATAAACTTTCGAGATTTGGCCCACAAGACTCCTCGAATCGGCGCTCTTCTTGACGGGATGCACCCATCAGAGACGTTGTTGGGGCCTCAAGAGGCACCCATTCTGGCGCAATTTCTCGCCGAACACGGTTCATCCAAAAAACCGCCGCTGAAACCCAGCCAAGGAATCAATGCTTGCGCGGGTATACTTGAACATGGCAAAGAAGCTGCGCACCCTCTCAGCAAAGTCTTGTTGTGGTTGAGCTTTCAAAGGGAGCCCAACAAGAAGAAACACAGGAAATGCCAACCACCAAAGGGGGTTCTTCCCCTCCTTCTCCCCCTGATTTGGGGTGCTTTTTTGCAAACTGGGGTAACCCAACAGGGCTCGTGCTCCTTTTCGGGCCCCTTCCGTGCCTTTGATTCTTTAGGATGCAAGCCCCAACTCTTTGGGACATATTTCACGGCCGTGCTTGGAACTGTGAAATCCGGTCGGTCGCAAAATGACCACTGGCGGTGGGGCGCCGAAAGAGGGATGCTAGCGGGCTTGCAGGAGCTGAAAATGCCAGCAAAGAGAAAACGAAGAGAACTACCCTGACTCCCACTAACATGGCAACTGACAGGGGGTCCCTGCAAGAGAAAAATGATCTTCCAGACACCATCCCAGAGGTGCTATGTTAGTGGAAGGGAGGGTAATAAAAAGCGGCTTTCTCAAGTGAGACCAAGCAAGCGTCAAAGAAAACATCAAAGAATTGGTAAGTGTCCAACTTCAAAATCCGGAGATCAGGAACCCCGAAAGAGGACCTTCAAGTGGGATGTCAGCTTGCTTTATGCGTATTGCCAGACCCCGCTGGTCTTTTGAGCCGTGTTCCCTTTTGCTCTTTGGTCATTTTCCTTTCACGCAGCAAGGAGACATCTGATCATTACCCCTTCTTTTATCGCGCTGGAGGTTTAAAATAACGAAACTCGCTGGTGCGATAGGTCGGGAGAGACTTTCCGAGTCCGCGTGTTGGGAATGAACCAGCTTGGGGGATTCCCTGAAAGGAAACCATAAGGGATGGCTTCTCTGGGGGTCATTCCAACTCATTCCCTGCTGAGAACGAGCAAGGAAATAATAATTATGCAGCTTGGCATCCACCTGCTCCTCCTCCGTGCTCGCTCCTCAGCTGAGGGGCATAGCTTGGAGCTTCGCAGGAGACTGAACTCGGGACCGCAACAACCCTCTTGGAGTCTCTCATGCCGGCACGGCACAGCAAATGACTACCTGGAGTCTCCTTCCGCCCCTTCAAAATAGAGTCATTACCCAAATTAAGGGGATATGACCCCTTTTTCTAGGGGTCATTGAGACTCTAGGTACAACGGTCAAAATCATCAGATGGGGGTGTGGGGGGGGGGGGGGGGGCGTGTACTCAGGAACTACCATAGTAGTGTGCGCCATCTATGTTTGAGGCTGACCGTTCTTTCCACAAACATAGCATCGGGGGCTACCTGGATCAGGTGTGTGGGAGCAAGGGCATGCCTGACCACTGCCGTCAATTTACAGCATCCCAGTGGATCCAGCTACCACTTCTGTCTGTTTTCAGTTCCTCTGCCTAAAGGTTTTAACTTTTAGTGGGTGAAATGCAAACCCCCACTACACCCTAAAAGCCTAAAAAACCTAAGGAACCGGATGGCTGGGAACCACCAAGACGTTGGCCAGGACTTTACATCAGTCGGAACGGGGCCCCTCTGCCTTGGAGTCCGGAACCACTGGAAGCACTTGTATGGTTGTACTCGGAGGCTCCTTATGACTCTTGAAGAAATGGTTGGTCATTACCCAAAAATATGGGGTTAGGACCCCTTTGTCTAGGGGTCATGGAAAAGGTATGTTTCGTTGATTTCCTTTACAACATTCACGAGCTGCCGCCCTGGTCAGGACCTTCGGATTGGAGTCCAAATGGCGTGATAGAGGGAAAAATAGTCTTCCCGCATCTTTTTGGTGCAACGTTGAACCTTTCTTTCGCGTGGAGAAACAATACAGTCAACTTGGCTTCTCTCTGGGCACAAAACTGCCAGATCTGTGGCTCGGGATGCTAAGGCCAAATCCAGCTGATGCAGCGTCACTTTGGCCTTGGCCAAGGCTCGTGATTGAAGGACACCTCATATGAGGGTTTCGCCCTTTTAGTTCTTAAGGGAAACAAATAGCAACATCGCCATCTGTTGGAATTTGAGAAAGTGTTTTAAGGATTTGAGAAACTGATGGGATTGCGGATTGCAACCTGAAGTTTTAAGGATAGCTGACCTAAGCTTTTAAGGCTTTTAGGATCAACTAGCAAAATTGCCATTTCTTGGGATTTGAGAAACCACACACCCATCAGCCTACGCTTGTCAGAATAGAGAGGTCGCTTCACCCACCAATTCGATTTGACCAACCATCATTGCCCCAACTGAAATATGAATCTGGTGCGCCATGTAGCCATGTTCTAATGTTGCTTTGGCAAGTGTGCCACATGACCCCCCTTCCTACAGTATCTCATGGAACTACCCTAGAACCCCCCCCCCCCCCCGTGTTGTGTTCTTGTTGATCAAAAGGTTCTTTACATGGGATGTCCACCCAGCGCATGATATTTCCAACTAAATGCAAAAAGTTACCCATGCTCATTTTGGGGGCCAGGAAGACCGACCAACCCCTTGGAAACCCTGGGTTCTCCAAAACCAATAAGAACTACCCCCAACAAAGCTGTTAGTATTTGGAGCTTTGGAGCACACCACCCCGCCACCACACCCCACACCCCCACACCCCACACCCCCCCCCCCCCCCCCCTCCCCCCCCCTCCCCAACAAACGGAATGGCTTGGCCTTGGTTAATTGGAACTACGTTTCGAGTGGACTTGGATTTTATTCGTGGTGTTGCGAAAGAAAACCTGCAACATGTGGTACCTGAAGTCTCCTTCCGACCCTTTCAAAATGGGAGTCATTACTCAGAATTCAGGGGTTCTGTCCCCTTTTGCTAGGGGTAATGGAGGTACCCTTTAAAAAAAAGAAAGACAACCACATGCTCAATTTGTAAGAAACCACAGCACCCTCCTACACGAGTGTGGTTCGATATTGTTCCTGTGATCTGTAATGACCACATGTTTGCTCAAACTACGAAATACCGAAATCCCCAAATTCACTCACGCGAGCTAAGCAGTTTGGCCAAGTATTGGCCGTTCAGAAAAGCTGCGCTCATCAACATCATGTGGCCTCTGACAGATATGAATCACGTCAAACTCACTATATCAAACTAAGCATGTACATTATTCAAATGCGCCTGCCGTTCCAGACAATTGGCATATATTGAAAGCACTCCCCAGGCATCCATGAAGATGTTTGACCTCGTGTTAATGGTCTTTTTGAGGACCCGTTTGATGCTTAGGGCTGGGCAAGTCTGTTTGATGCTCCACATGGTGTGAACATTGAACATCATCCCGTTAAGTGGCAACTTCCTATGAGATAGTGCATGCGCTTGCGAGGCGGGGCGTATTTTCACACATATTCAGAAGGAAGCCAAAGGGAAATCGCCAATTTGGCGGGGGTTCCTCGATTTTGACACATACCCATATTAGTTGTCCTTTCCAGGTCAAGCCAGCAACATAATCATAAATTCTTCGGCACCTAACTGCAACCCAACCTGCAGGGGATCCCACAAGGATTGTCGACCCATTACATGAATAATTATCTAAAACTGCTCAGATGTTTGAAATCCTCGTTTACAAATTGGATGTGTTGCCACTTCTGAACTAGAGAGAGTACTTGAGTATCGGTTTCAAGCCATGTTGTAGTAAACATTGAACACATAAACAACACATGAACGCCTCTACATCTGAGTTCAGCCTTTGCAGAATCTCAGAAGCATCAAAATAATTATTTGTGTAACGCAGGTATGCCGAGTACGTTGTCACTTCGGGAAAGAACAAATAAACAACACAACAAGAGCACTGCCATCACAGAACATAACCTAAGAAAAAGGCGGCAAACCGTGAAACAACGCCTTTCATTGTTGTCCCTTTTCGTGTTTTGTTTCCTCCATTCATCTCCTGTCATGTTTCCCGGGCTGCTACCACCGTCCGCTCACGATTCCTGAGATTAGAATTCTCTACTCGTTGTCTGGCCTTTTGCAGATAAACAGACAAAAACACTGGAGACTCACTTCCGGGCTGGCCAACCCAAATCTCAATATGTTCCTTTGCCACTAACTTTGTAGCCGTACCTTCCCCGTTCTCTTCAGGGATCCTTCTCTTCAAAAAATAGGCGACCCCTGGGAAAATGAGCGGTCTCAACGTCTACCTGGTCTCCATGACCCGCAGTTACCCAGAATTAAGGGGGTATAACCCTTTTTCTAGGGGCCACGGAGACTCTGGGTAGAAAAGGGTTGACATGATACCCTTAAAATTGGGTTACTTTTTCAGGGCCCCTGAGGAATTGGTCTGGGTTCTTCGTTGGAATGCCTGCAATGGAGAGGTCACGAGCCTTGGGGAACCTGCAGTGAGAGAAATCAATTCGAGGGCCCGAAGTTGAAACAGCCATGCTGTAAACAAGGGGGCTGGAAACCTGCAAACATACCTGTCCCTTTTGGTTTACGTTTGCTTCTTGTTTTCTTTAAACAAGAACTCTTTTATCGAGTATAACTAACAATCCAACGAAGATCTTAAACATTTTCGGTCTATTTTGCACCCACGTTGCGGACGGGTGGCTACTTCCACGTCGGAAAGGCGCGACAATACCTAGCGCAAACTGGTTGCCATGAAGAAATCCGGATCTCTGGGCTCTGCGAAGGCAAGACGCTGACGTTGGCAAAGGGGACATCCCGCTGAAAGGCTTTGGACAACTTTCGTCTTCCCCCCCTCTAGTTTGGCTCTCGGAACTTTCGGCTCAGGACCCCCCTTTCTTCTCCCCAACGAGACCGCAAAGTTGTCAATGACACAGTTTTGACGTCTCGAACATTTGTGTTGAATATAAAATGGGCTCGGCAAGATGAATCGATGTATCCCCTTGGGCTTCCTATTGAGAACGTTGAAATTGCGGATCATCTAAGCACACAGACACCCGAGCAGAAACAACCACACACACGTCATGGAGGCTTCCTTATGCCTTTCACGCAGTATTGTTGTGCTATAAGGGCCGAAACATTTCAACTGGGGCTGGTACTTGATCACAGAAGCAACCTAGCAATCATTGGGGCCCTACCGGCTTTCTCGATTCACACCCTGAAAATCCCCTAAACGGCGACTACACTCGCGGTGGGACTGTCTCTGTCAAAAGGCAAGCCGTTCAGTCCGCTCGAAAAATCCAGAATCTGCCACTTGTGATTCATGGGCTGTATGTTGCCGCCGCCCCGTACCTTGTTTAGTTGGTATGTTCTGAAGAAACAGGTTTCTCATGCTAAATATATTTTTCTTTGGTCAGGGGTTGACATTGTACCCCAAAGAGGGTAAATGAAGTATGGGGTGAATACAAATTGAACATGCGCTCAAAGACATTCTTTCCCAAACTCAGACACTACCATCAAGGACCAACCCGGCTTGTCTTGTACGAGCCAAACAAAGTCCAAACACATCATATGGGTGCATCTTGTTGTTTGCAGTAAAAAACCCGGGCGTCCTTTGCCCCCAGTCCCCGCAAATCCAAAGCAAGTAACAGGGTAGAGGGGACCCCACATGTTTAAACCCCAGCTTGTTAATATGGCTTGTGTCCCTGGGTTTAGCGGGGAATCATACCACTTTTGGAGGGGCACACCCCCAGTTTAAAAGAAACAAAAGTGGGGTTGATGAATATTTCGGTCAACATTGAACAGGTAGCCTGGTAGAACAACCTGAGGAAAACAAAACAAACAACTGGCTCCAAGCGACTCGCTTTCGGCTCCGCGTTTTCGGGTGGCGCGTTCGGCGCCTGAAGCGAAATCCCGGGGAAGCTCCAGCTCTGGGCGCGAAGGTTCCTGAGAGCCGCCGGGATCGAGGCTTCTGACGAGGGAACTGGCTGTGGTACCCTCATGGAACCCAGGTAAATGGAAAAATGGACCAAAACCTGCGGTCCAATTCCACCAGAAAAATGGTGCCACCCAAAATTCAGGGGAGTTATAATCTAGTTATAATTGTGGATGGTTGCGAAATCCATTTCGCACCACGTTGAAACTATGGGAAACCAGTGGTTGTTGGAATTTTCAGGAGAATCATCCTTCCAGGGTCAAAAATGGGATACCCTAATGGAACCCTGGAATTGGAAAACTGGACCAACACCTGTGGTCCGGTGCTTTAATTTTGACAAATACCCAACTAGGGTCACCCAAAATTTTCCGGGGAGTTGGGACCCCTTTTTCTGGGGGTCAGAAGGAGACTCCAGGTAGAAAAAGGGCTCACAACCCCTGAAATGGTGACCCCATTTTTAAAGCGTAGGGAGACTCCAGGCATATCTTAGCCCCGGGTTGGGGCCATACACTACCCTAACATTCCCGTTCAAAGCCCTCATATTTCGAGTTTTGGGCTCCTAAGGCTAGGTAACTGGATGTTGAACAGCAGGTTTGGGGTTGGACAAAAGACAAGGTCCTGGGTCCCAACAACTGCTTTTTGGTTTGGGGATTTCGACATGGGGAAAGAAAACAGTTCTTGGGGTGCCGGAAATGGTGTTTGTTTTTGGGCTCCATGCTAATTGGTAGGGTACCTACTATAGGCTTTAGTCGGTGGCAATGTTAACCTCGGATATCCTCGGATTTAACGGGGAGGACCGTACTTTCAGAGCATGTTCCGTCTTTTGGCAAGGGAATGATATGGAATGACATCTATTTAAGGGGTCCTCTCACGAGGGTGCGCATGGAAATGCTACAACAACCCAAACATAAAACAAGAACCCTCCCGCTTTGACAGGTACTTTTCATGGGAGAGGTGGCTTGACGCAGAGCTCACAGAGAAGTGCCCAACTTGGGCTTCCTGACCCCGGTTTTGGTTCCGACGGAGGTTTTGCCTGTCTCGTGCCGAAGCCAAAAAACCAAACTAAAGATCACCTGTGGCTTCAGCTGTCTCACGAAAAGACACTGAAGCGGTTTTATCGGGATTGACCTGAAAGCTACACCGGCCGATGGGGTTGTTTCTGAACAAAAAGACTGGGTTGTTCAAAAGGGGGAGTTTGTTATCCATTATCCATACTAGGACACCACAAGAAGAAGGAAAACCATTACCATCTAGCACAAGGGTCTTGCGGAAACCAAAGAAAAGAGCAACCTAGATTTACTGGCTCTCATTTGGGCATATCTTTGTTTGCCCCCCAAACAATAAAAAAATGCTAGTTGTCCTTTGGGTTTCCTCTTAAGCCACCCCCAAAAAGGGTACCTGGAAAAAAAAGAAGACACATTCATGTGCGTCCCTTAGCTCAGGACTAGCGCAACATGGCCTCCTGTCCTCTGCTTTCTCAGCATCTGCAGAACTGCGTCGATGCTCCTGGCGTTCTGATGGCTTCCCCTACTCCACAGACCCACTTTAGGTTACATTTCTTGGCTGGAATTAGGACCTCAGCAAAATATGTGTTTTCCTGGTTAGTGGAAAACAAAGCGAACCCCCAAAAAAAATTAAAAACCAAAACGGGGAACTAATTCTGGGGAAGATTTAAAACAAAGCCACTGGTTGTCAGCAGTTCCTTGCAGAATTCTCAGGCGCCCGCACTCTCAGCGAGCTCTTGGGCACCAGCGCAAGTGGCATCCAACGCCAAACTCAAACTCAGACCAAGCTTCGACAAGGTCTACACCCTTTCATATATATATATATATATATATCCGTTCTTATATATATATATATATATATCATTTCTTATATATATATATTTCCTTTCTTATATATATATATATATTTATCCTTTCTGTTATATATATTTATATATTTATCCTTTCTTAAATATACATATATATATATATAGTTATCCTTTCTTATATATATATATATATTTATCATTTCTTATATATATATAGTTTGTCCTTTCTTAAATATATACATATATATAGATGTATCCTTTCTTACATATATATATATATATGTAGTTATCCTTTCTTATATATATATATTTATCCTTTCTTATATATATGCATATATTTGTCCTTTCTTATACATATATATATATATATATTTATCATTTCTTATGTATATTTATATATCATTTCTTATATATATATATCATTTCTAATATATATATATATATATCATTTCTTATATATATATATATATTTATCCTATATTCTTTATTTCAAACGAAATCTATATCCTATATTATCTATTCCAAACCCAATTGATTTCCTAGATTCTTTATTCCAAACTAAATATTTATCCTATATTCTTTATTCCAAACGCAATTTATATCCTATATTCTTTATTCCAAACCCAATTTATATTATATATTCTTTATTCCAAACCCAACCACTAACCTATCCTCCACCGTGGGGAACCAAGGGCGGGAGGGGAGGACAAAGATCATGTATGCATGTATGGGCATATGTTAAGATATGCAACAAATGGTATTCCTTTTAAACTCTTTAACTCCCCCAAAAGGGTATACTCGTCAAAAAAAGCCCAGTTGAAATTCCCAACAGCCCCGGAACCCCGGAAACCTTGAGGAACCCTCCCTGAAAGCTGCCCCAAACCACCCCAAACCCTATCTAGGCCAAGACCCCGTAGCTTCCAGCTGTTTCAACAACCACCTAAGAAACCCTGGGTTCTGATTCGAATCCCCTTTTTATACCAACAAACACTGGATTTCCATGGTTTCCAAAAAATGCGATTTCTGGGATTTCGCCACCATCCACATCACATCCTAGCCCAACTCCTTAGCTTTGCCCTCGCGGAAGTCCAGCGGATCTCGAAGCTCTTCCGGAGAATGCGCAAAAGTGCAGCTTCTACCACGCGCACACCTCCCCCAGTGCCCCCAAACCGATCCAACGCGTGGTGGAAAAAAAGAAGAAGAAACAAACGAGGCATGGCTCTCACCATTGTCGCACTTGAAGAGCGTGGTGGAAAAACTTGGTTGACGTTGGCAGGGGAGCAATAAAAAATACTTTAGCAGTTCAGTGGGGATTTCAACCACTCAACCACAATAAGCAAACATGTAAAATGTTTCCCAACAACAATGAAGAAAAGAGAGGCATGGCTCTCACCACTGTTGCACTTGAAGACTTAAGCGAATTGGCCACAAGTTCACACTTACACTTGTTGCCAGCCTTTCCAAGTGAACTCAGGGAGAGAGTTCTTTCTTCAAGCGCCCAATGCTGGAAAAAAACCCGCTCCGTACCCAGCCATCGGAAAGTGACCAGGGGAGTGACAAGCCTTTTCGCCCAAATGGACGTCTTTTTTTTCCGGGGACCCCACAAATGGTGTGTGTGTGTGTTCCTTTGGTTGCCCCTTAAAACCACAACGAAAAGGCATCCTCGAAAAGAGATTCTTTTGCTGGGCCTTCGATTTGCCGAATTAGTAAGTTGTTGGTAAACTAGGTCATCATTAGTGAGTTGGCTAACAACTTACTAACTTGGTCCAAGTAGGGGGACCCCCAAAATGGTGTGTTCCCTGTGCTTTCCCTTTCAAACCTGAAAAGGGTACCCGCAAGTTTGCGCAGAGGGGCTGTTGCTTTTGCCACTCCCAAAACGCCCTAAGATGTTAGATGACAGGGCAGGAGATAGTGTGAAAGGCTTAAGCCCCCACATGCCGAAACTAGCTGAGCCTTTCGGAGATGGTTGGTCGAAGTTCAGTAAGAAAACCCCCTTTTCGTGCGCATACCAACAAGAGGGAGCCAGAGAAGCCATGGTCTTTGCCAGAACTGAACTTGAGCTTTCAATACTGTGGATGGTTGCGAAATGTTGCGCCATTCGGAAACCCCATGAGTAGATTTTACATACCAACAAACCTTCTGGGCTCAACAATGGTTTCATTTCGTGGTGCGAAATTGTCTTCAGCAATCATCCACGGTGTCATGGGAGAATGAGGGCCTGGGTTTTGTGGGCGGCAGTGACCCATATCCTTCCCAAATTCACATGCCAAAAATAAACAGACATAAAGAACCCGGCAACTGCTAAACATGTTCTCTCTTGAGTGGGTTGGCAAAAAACAACCACTCCACGACCCCAGTAAAGAGGGTCCTAACCCCACTTTTTTTGGGGGAAATGACCCAGTTTTTAAAGCGTCAGAGGGAGACTCCAAGCACACTTTTTGTTTATCACTAAAATGGTTCAACTCCAAGTCGCAAAAAAAATCCAGGACGACCAAACACCTATCATTGGGAGTTCCTCGACTGCATGCGGATTGGCTTTTTGGGACCAAAAGGGTTTAAATGGGTAATCCGAAAAGTGGGACATGGAACTCAGGGTACTTTGTCCAAGAGCCGGGCGCCGGCCCCTCAACATTCGCTCCCTCTGGCGACCTATTGGCTACAAACACCGCATGGCCGTGACATTTGTCTCGCCGAAAGCTGGACCATGGCTCTCCGAAGAAACAAGGTGACCTCCGTTAGGAGAAACAAACACACACACACACACACACACACTGGGGACAAAACCGCCCAACTTTCGCTTCCCTTCAAAAACCCTTGTGTAACATGTCAAAACTCCCAAGAGGAGTTTTACTCCCGGGGTTCGCCACAAAGAAAAACACAAACATTCAACACGTGGGGCGCGACCAAACCGAGCCCGGGCGCCGGTTTACGAGGAAGAACTTGCACATCTTCGTGCGGCGAAGGCCCGACTCAGTTCGGCCAAACTTGTGGCCGCGGGCCCCGTCGTGTTCGCTTTGTTCGCTTTGTTTGTTTGTTTGCTTCGTTAATGTCTTGTGGGTTGTTGTTGTGTTTGTTTTTTGATTCGGTAAATATAATGCTTTGTTCTTCGTGTGTTTGTGCCAACTTGCGAGGGGAGCAGGAAGCTTCCAGCAGATGCGAGCCCTGGCAAGGGGGTTTCAGGAGAAGGGGGTCCTGAGGAAACAGCGCTTAGAGATTCTGCGGCAACTGACCTCTGTATTTCACCATCATCAAAGTCACCCGCAAAGTGTGTCAACGGGAAGGTTCCCAGTTACTGACCTTGATACCCCAAAGCAGTGAGATCTTCAAAGCTGTTGGACAGTTGGGAAAACATGTTCTGCCCTAGGAGCCCCTTGGACCTCATTCGATGCCTTTGAGGGTAGGCCGTCATACTGTGGATGGACGCGGGCCCCATTTCGCGCCACAAAATAAATTCTGGCTTTTGCCGATTCCCCGGTATATTGCAAACCATGGCTCCTCATAGTTCAAAGTGTGAACGGATTTCGTCCACGGTAACGTGTCTTGGGAAAGAATCCCCTAAGGCTCACCCCTCTAATCCCCGGAACCCCAAGAACCCCGACCAATTCCCTCCCATTCATATGAACCTCACACCCCAGGTAGTTGGAAAAAAAGCAACACACGCCTCGCCTCGGTTTTTTTCAAGTCTCTGCCTTCAAACCACGTCGCTTGCCGATGATCTCAAGCAAAGAAGCGATTAGGATCCGTCGAGGCCACCCCCCCCCCCAAGGGCGCCCAAAAGGCTTGTTTGTTTTGTTCGTAAAAGTCAACAGTGGGTTGAGGTTGTTGTTTTTCTTTACATGGCTTTTCTAAAACTTGATAGAGGCAGCTAGGGGTGACAAATCCCTGGTGCAGTAGTTTTTGTGTACATGGCTTCTCTAAAAACCCGATTGGTTAGGGTGACAAAACCCTCGAGCATGCGGTCCGGTGATTTCCTAGCCAACACCCCCCACTGTTTTTTTGCAGGCAGCCAGCAATTTTCGGTTTTCATAGGGCCCCCGAATCGGGGAATCACAGAACAGGCAAACAGATCGCGCCAGAGTTTACTTCATCGGTTCACTATTCTCCCGCACATCTAGCTGGAGTCAGAGCTCACCCGTGGACAACATGGGAAGCATCATGCACGTCGAACCTTGTAAACTGTAAACTGTGCATGGCATTCAGCCGGAAAAGTGAAAGGGACCAAAAGACAACAACGGTCAACACGAAATGTTTCAGTGATGTCTGTCCATCCAGAAGAAAGCCCTTGCCAGCCCAATCTTTGACCTGTGAAGCTTCCTCTCCGCGCCCTCTCAATTAAAGAAAGGGACCCCTCCAACTCCCATTGCGAAAAGGTTGCGGTCACCAAAATGCAAGCGGGTAAGTTCTTCCCAATTCAATCCGACTGAGACCAGAATCGAAGTGCCTGAAGCTGACGCTTTTGCGGTTCGAGTTCTGTTGATTTGGCAGAAAAAAGGTTTGGACTGTTTGCTTACTTCTGCATGCGGGTCATCTACCAAAGTAAAAGGGCTTTATCCAGCACCCCAACCCACTGCTTTTGTCTTAACAGTACTTGGCTTTGTTTGGGGGTGCTGGATTAATATTTATGTTGAAAGGGTCATGGACACGCTAAAAGGATCGCCGAAGTTCGTTTCCCAAGTGTACTCCTTTCCTTGCCGAAGCTGCATGGGAAGACCCAGATGTGGCTCGGGCCTGCCAAAGATGCCACTTGATTGGAAACAAACCCCTTCCAGTTGATTGCTCCAAGCTCCCCAAGCCACCTTTTGAAGGCAGCCATTTGTTTCCAAAAGCACTCTCCGGGCAATTCGGTCACAATCGCCATCGTCGTATGTAGATATATATGTATACAGATATACAACAATCCCTGGTTCAAACCGCCGACTGAGGATATGGTATAGATTGGGATTGTGGTGCTCGGGCCTGTAAAATCGGCTCTACGTGTCCATGGCACAAGGTCCCTGTTTTTCAACAAGGAACCCTCTACCCCAACCCCACTGCCTTGGAAACTGGGCCATGGGAAAAAAGCAGTTCTTGGGGGTGGTGCTGGCTGAAAAGTATGTCTACAGGTGAACAGCCACTCCTTGAGACCTGTGACTTGGTCTGGCTAGTACAGTTGACATGCTTGGTCTCAGCCCCTGCTTCAAATACCCGATTGTTTCTTAGCTGCCATCATGGCAACCCGCTCAACAAGGAGGTATGTTTTTTACCCCCTGCCAACAAAAAAGCGTGGTAGCTTCCCACAAATACCAACTTCAAAATACAAAAAGCGAAAACAAAAAAACCAGCAGTTGGCGTAGTCAGAATCCTAGCGGCCAAAACCACCCATCTTCTCGGTCTCCACATACCGCTTGGGCCGAGTGGATCTAGACCAATCACTTGACTGGACTTCCCTTACCTTTGTCGTCCTAGGCTCAAGTAAGCGTCATAGATGTATAGGTCAATGGGGCGGACAACTCCATGACACATGCGTCAGAAATCGGAGACTTGGTTCGTGTTCAGCTTCCGGGGCTGAATTTTGGAGACACCTCTGGTCTTCGTAAACAGATCCAATGGCTCCGATCCAGCGATGAATTTGTTTTGGTGTTCAATGGGCGGTTTCCTTGGTGGCCGACCCTCCAAATACCCCGCTCTTTCGAGGCTATCAACCCAGTCTACCGTAGCTATGGGAAATGGAACTGGGTGCGTTGGCATCAAGCAAGCTCCAAACAGCAGCGAGTGGATCGCACACATCAAACGCCCAGGGGCCCACCGCGCAAGCGAAACTCAAAGAGAACCCGCCTGCGCTGATTCATTTGAGCGCCTCGGATCAGGACGAAAGTCGTTCCAAGACAGCGAGCCCGAGTGGATTTTGGTCTCACTTGCCCAATGGAGCTGGAAATGAAAGGGAAACCTTGTGGAACCTTGACTATATATGGACCATGATTAGAGTTAGGCCCAGTATAGAATGTATATCCTATTGCTTTCTTCACCTGGAGTCACTGGTAAAATGCAAAATGTATCCTAAGTCTACCCCAACAACCACATCAGGGAAATCAAACGTTCCATTTGGCAAAGCGAGTGGTCAGGAAGGTCGCCCTGATGGAAACCCAGATATGCCCCGATCAAAAATCCCCTAGATAATCCAGAGGGTGGGGTCCCAACGGGACACATTGCAGGTGTTGCGACTTTGCGCCATTGGATTTTGATGCTACTTGGGCACCCGTTTCCTTTCACTCCAGTGATGCTCGCAGCCATCGGGAGGTTGATTCTACATGATACATGATTGTACCACTCTTGCTGCGTGTACACATTTCCTTGGTTGACGTTGAAAGGCGAGCAAAAAAAAAAAGCAGCCAAGTGGGGATTTCAACCACTCACCCACGATAAGCAAAAATGTAAAATGTTTCCCAACAACAACCAAGTTTCTCCTCTGGCTGACTCGTCTCTCGTTTCAAACGGCTTTCCACAGTCCCGCTCGGAGGTTTTGACCGCGTCGGTTGAACATTTTGCCGATGCATCCATGCCCCCATTCTCAAAGTTGCTGCTATTTGCAAGGCGGACAGTTTCTTGGGTTCATTGCCCTTGCAAAACACGCGCCGCTTTTTGGAGCAAATGAAAAGCTATATGAAGACTGTGGGGGCAGAAGTAGTATGGGCAGAACAGCAAGAGTACAAATCCACTCGAAGGGCACAAATTAAAAAGGCTGTTCTTGCTATATTTCTCGGAATCCGAAGCCACGAAGTAATCTGCGCGGCAAAAGGACACATCTTGTGTGTGTGCTTTCCCTAAGTAGGTGTCCAGCCCAAGGACAATTTCATATGCATATATATATATATACACCTATACATATGTACATATTGTATGCATATATATAAACATATGTATATAAGTATGTGTCTTATTTATGTAGATATCTATATATGTATACGTATATATATATATATGTATGTATCTATAGATGCACCCTCCATATGTAGTATCCTGTCTCTTGAAAGTGCCAGGGCGCAGTGGAAGCGTAAGGGGGTGAACCATGTCCGTCTTAGCCGTTGGCTCAAACACTTCTGTCAGCTTCCATTTTTGCTGGCAGCACAAAAATATTATATACATATATGTCTGTATGTATGTATGTATGTATGTATGTATGTATGTATGTATGTATGTATGTATGTATGTACGTGTACGTACGTACGTACATACGTAAGTATGTATGTATGTATGTATGTATGTATGTATGTATGTATGTATGTATGTATGTGTCTACATATGTGTCTGTGTGTCTATGTGTGTGCTCAGCTCCGTTTGGGAATGTCTAGACTCCAACTGCTCAGGCTTTGAGGGTTCATCCCTCAGTTGGACTAAATTGAAAACCGCGGTTTTCCTTCGGCTTCCCTTCAAAAGTACAAAAACGGTAGCCTAAACAAGGACACGCACGTCAATCATTTGCGGCGAAATGACGATTGGCAAGGCATTCTCAACTCCACATACCTGCTCCTTTCAAGGGTATAGTTGCTTTCGGTTTTTGAGAGCAAATACGAGATACCATGTTGGTTTAGTCAAAGCTTGGCATCATACCCAGAAACAAAGGGTGTTTGAAGTCAGGGGCATTCTGAGTTGGCCCTTCTTTTTATCGAAATGCATGGACCAGGATGATAGCGACACTTAGGCCCCCTGCAAAAAACGAACACTTTTGCTGACATATTACGAAAACCCAAAAGAGCGACAGAAACACGCCACGAGGTGGGGGTCTCACCCTACCGATATTACATGGCTTTATCGTTTGGCGAGGTGCAAGATGACCTCCCCAGATTCCATCCACTCTCCGAATACGACCTTAAAACTATAAAACCATACTTACGAGAAATGGCGCCACATTGAAAATTGAACCTGGCTCGCGGGGAAAGGTTCCGGGGACATCATGCGAGCTACCACCTCCTCCCTAAATCCATTCGTACAGCTCGTCTGTCTGGGGATTGCCTTGCTGTTGCCTGACCAAGAAATTTGGCAATGTTGGGGGCCTAACCCCCCCCAGGCAAAATTGGAACCAACATCTCCTCAGGTCCTTCCTCCACGTTGCACTTAAGACCTCCCTCAAAAAAGTGGAATGGAGAGATTTCAAATCGGGGTAGGGCTGCAACAGGGCGGCGAAGTAGCTAGTTATGACAAGCGGGCGTACCCTCGTTTGGCACCATGTTTCGGCCAGCAAAAAAAAAGAAGTTCTGCACCCTGTTGGGGAGAGTAACATGCTCTTTCCTCGACAAACCTGCCAAAAGATAAGCCCTGTGCACAGACCACATCGACAAAACCAGCTATGAGGTAGGGTTGCCCCCTCCCGCCGTCCGCCCAGCCCGACCAAACGGCCCCTATTTCACACGAGCGTCGCATCCATGCAGAGATCTGAGCAGCGAGCCTCGGCGACACAAATCGGTCCGCGGGCAGCTGTCCGCTTCCATGATTGCTTGGAAAAAGGGTAAATATGCTTATCTGACGGGCACCGGCCGCCCCAAAACCTAGATCTTTCTTTATGTTGATGAATGTGACTCCACCCTCTAAGCGAAAAACCTTTAATTTTAAAGGGTCAAATGGGAAAACCTGGTTTTTGGGCAAGTTTTGGAAAAATAAAGGTTTTCCAGGGAAAAACCTGGTATTTCACTTACATCCTTTATTTTGGCACTTTTCGCAAGCGAAATGTCGGATGTTTGAAGAACAGAGCAAAGGTGCCGGATCTCGAGCAGGTGTTGAAAGGAGCCGCCAGGTTTCTTTCACTGCCAAATTGTATATTGGGTTTCTAGATGTTTTTTGGGAATCTCTTGTGGTTTCCTTTTGTACCGCCAAGTGCGCGATAGCCCCCTGCTCCTCAAGATTGGAGCTCAAAAGGCAGGGGTAGACGCGAGGGCGTGGTCAACCAAAACTCAACAATGCAGCGGGACAACCAACTTGAATGTAAAAGTGTGCAGCTCACTACATGACCATCAGTAGCTCTGCGTGATTGACACATCATGCTCATCTTGGTACTTTTTTGTATTTTTAAAACATCAGGCAGTATCCCAAAGTGACACTTGCATTCTTTACTCGGCTCGGCGCACAAGCCAAATGCCAACAAAGCTGGCCTCCGCCTAAGTCGCACTTTCTTCCAGCACCTAACTTTGATTCGATGGGAAGCACAGTCCAAGCCAAACATGTTGCGTAGTACGTGCTTGTGCCCGAAAACCTTCGGACGTTCTACCGCAATGTCATACAAAACCAGTTCGCTGCTCGCGCAATCTAGCTGTGTGCCCGCTTTTCTTTGCTGGAAAGCTTCTGGAAGGCCGAGCGCGTGCGAAAAAAAAGGAAACCCATAAAAATCCCATACGAATCCCATAAAAATCCCATACAAACCCATATTTGCCCGAAAACCAGGTTTTTCCTAACCCGTACAAAAACCGTACAAATCCCATAAAAATACCGTACAAAACCGTACGCAATTTATGGGATTTTCAGCTTCTGCTCTAGCAGCTTTCCAGGCCCGAGCTGCCCGAAATAAGCTTGCAAGGTGACCCTGCGAAAAGCAGTCATTCATGTGTTCATTTTACTACCTGCTGTCCAGTGTTCAAAGTGGGTTAGGTTCTTTTGGCTCGCTCCAAAAATGATGTTCCTGCGACGTTTTAGACAAGCCTGCGAGAAGTTCCGGGATCAATGCTCTAGCACGGGACTTGGTTGTCAAACAGTGAGCATTTGCAAGACGGCCCTCCAGATGTATCCGACGCGAGCTTTACGCAAACAGTCCCAAGCAGATTGCTCAGTGCCATACAAAATATGTATACACGTGCAGCTACCGCTTGCGGTAAACTGGGACTACTTGTTGCCCTTGTCAGAAAGTTCATATTCCAATGCTGTTTTAAGCTTCCCGAGCCACGATCTGGGAAGCCTTCCCAACAAATTGTGGATTGACCATTGTTTCGAGTTCAGCAGGTGATTTGCAACAGGTGCCATGCTCAATGAGCTTGCTTGGATGGGATCGCTAGGCGGCCGTGGAGCGATTGACTGGATGTAAGAGAGCCAACAAAAGGATTATATTGAGGGAACCACAATCATAACTCACGCAAGACCATTCTGATTACAACGCAAAAAGTAAAAACCCGGTATTTCCTCGAAAAACCCTGATATTTTGCCATACCTTTAAAATAAACGGATATTTGCTTAGAGGGCACCCTGAATTGCTGCGCAACTCCCCCAACATTGGCGTTGGTCTCAAGGCCGGCTTTTGCGAAAGGACCTGATTGCCCATGTCTCCTGGCTCACGGTTCGTCAAAGCTACTCGCATGAATCCTACTAGCCTTAGGTTTCACCAATGCAAAGCAAGCACGGCAAATAGCACATCTAATTGAGCAGCTGGCCCCAAAAGCATGTTAACGGCAAAGTGAAAGCAGCAAACGGCAAAAGAACTGGACATGTAGATTGTGGCTGGATATGAGTGTAGTCTCCAGTCTTTCTGTGAAGGTCATGTGAGCGAAAATCAAATGGCAAAATCCGCGGCAGAAGAAATAACATGCACATGATGTTCGAATCCGGAAAGTACGGAATCAATTAGCTTGCAATGGGACATGTTATTGCAAGGTTTTGGTTTGCAATCCAGCATGTGAACCACAGTCATATTTGGGTGCGTTTGTTTTAGGGAAACCCACACACACACCAAAAAAAGGAAGGGGGCGCCCTTAAGTTAGACCCAATTTCTTGTTCCTGCAGGACGCCCATGTCCCAATATGGCCGGAGAAAAAAACAAAAAAACACCTGGAAATGTTGACCGTAGTTCAGAGCGCCCGAAACCTGTTAACTGTTGGTTGGAACCAAGACAGTTGCAAAGGTTTTGCAGTGGATGGACAAAATCCGTTTCGCACCACATTGAAACCATGTGAAACACGTATTTGCTGCTATGTTTGACAGGGGAAACGAATCATTCCCAGGAATTCTGAACGGTGGTGCGATTTCTGGATTTTGTCCAGTACGAAACCAGTTGCAAACACCACCTGTTTTTGTTGTTTGCGCTGGCTTCAAGGTGCCGAGGGAAGCGCTAAACGCGAGGGCTCAGTTGACTAAGCGGATTTGTCCGTCGCGACGGACTCGGAACGGCACCTTCAACAAAGGCTTTGGGATCAAACGCAATTTGCTTACCTGGAGTCTCCATGACCCTTCAAAAATGGGGTCATTGCCCAAAATAATGGGGTCATGGACCCATTTTTGAAGGGTCATGGAGCGGTAGGTATAAATATATAAATATATATATATATATACTTAGAGTCTCCATGACCCCACAAAGTAGGACCCCTGAATTTGGGGCATTGGCCGGCCCCACGTTTAATAAGAATCCACGCGCCAAGGCCAGTTGCCCAGCCGAGCACTTTGCGGCCTGGACCTTTTCTGGGCCCCGAACTCACCAAGCAAAAAGATGGGAGAAATCCACTGAGCAACTGCGTCGATTTTTTTCAATCCTGACATTCAAGCGGACTTCCCCCACTAGGTCCTCCAGATTTGAGAGGTTAGAATAAGGGTACCAACTTTTTTCTGCCTATTTTAGAAGGGGAACCCTCCCTCAAAAAAGAAACGGTAAAAGGGCACTGCTGGGGGACCTAGCCCCAAAAAAGCGGGCAGCATTGTCTCACTTTACTTTGCTGGGACAGTTTTCCGAACTTTCGATCCGAATCGGTTTTGGCTCACGAAGTTTCGCAGCCTCGGGGGTAGATCTCGGGCTAACCACCCCACTTTAGGCGCTACCTGTCTCCATGACCCTTTGAACATGGGGTCATTTCCCAAAACATGGAGACTCTAGGTGGAGAGCTGATGTTTAAAACCGGGATTCTTCTTTCCAGGCGAAAAACTTGAAACCATCAGTGACAGGAAAATCAACATACATTGTGTTGTGCCCCTTTTTCGGTTTTGAGACATGCCCACTTGTTCCGAGCTTTCCGAATGTGCCAAGCAGCAATAAGCAACTCAAGCTGATCGGCGGTCATATACCACTCGGCCGTGAGCAAGAACTCCGATCCCGAGGTGCAATGAGCAGCGCATGATGTTGTTATTCTTTGTCTTGGTTGCTGTTGGCTCCCCTGCAAAAAGCTTAACTTTTTGGGGGTTTAGTGGAAAACACCTTTATTGCCCAAAAAGTTAAAGTCTAAAGATCCAACCCAATAGCAGTCAAGTTTGTCTTGTGGATTCCTTTTCAGGTTTTGCATCGTTTCTTAGGATCACAGGGAAGTAAATGGCATCTGCAATCAAGTACTCGAATGCTTGATGCCAATGAGTCGTGCATGAGTTCCATCTCAAACAAAGGATATCCAAGCCAAAATGCTGCAGCGAGGTGTTGGAACTGGCGGAAGTGATTGAGTTCTGGTCACCAGTTATCGTCTTACAGTCTTCATTCCTTTCCTCCTAGAGTCTCCATGATCGGGGGTCATAGACGCAAAATTAAGGGGTAATGACCCCATTTTTTAAGGGTCATGGAGACTCCAGGCACACCATTTTCCAAGAACCTGGGTCATACACCGATGCCCTGCACCACTGTACGCGAGAAAGATTGCAGCACATCCACTTCCAACGCTGACGCACATTCGCAAGCACCCGAGCGGCCCCCTTTGCTAAAATGGACATCCTCTACCAACTCGTGTCGGTCACTTTTGCATGCAACTTGACATGGACATGGGTCAAAACCCCGTACCCCCAGTGAACATCCCAATCCCCACTAGAATAGACAAAACTAGGTGGTGCACCTGCCCCAAAATGGGATCCCATTGGTTTTGACCCACGGCCACATGGACATTTGAGGGGTTTTCGGGGACTCAATGACAAATGTGAGACAAATCCAAGACCCTGTCCACGGAGCTATCACACCGGCCTTGCTATCGCGGTCCTGCGAACGGGAACTAAACCAGGGCACCCGTTGCTGACCTGACAAAAGCTCATCAAAAACAGCCGTACGATCCGTGTAAGCGACCAAAACCAGAGCTGACTTTTGATTCTACATGGGTTCTACTGGCTTTGATGGGCCTTACTACCTGCATAGAACCAGGTAGTAGAACCAGCTACTAAAATGGCCAATAGGATTTGGTCTCAGGCGCTCACTGACATCTTCTGTCATGGGCCTGTCACAAGCCGATCAAAAGCGTAACTACCTCAGCTGTGATTGAGATTGTCCATATGGGTGTGTGTGTGTGTGTTTTAAGGGTGTGTTTGTGGCTTTAAAAGGAACACCAAAAGGGAGGCCACACCTATATGGGTTCTCAAAATGGTGCACTCCCGTTTGGTGAGAGGGGTTGCTCAAAGCTTACTTGGACGTTCGGTCAACTTAGTAAGTGGCTAGCCAGCCCACTACCCAGGGTGAATTCCACAGCACGGGGGACTGAAGAGTGGGTTTCCGAACGGTCGTTACAACTGACTAACTTGGCGAATCGAAGACCCAAGCACCTGGAGTCTCCCCATTACTCCCGGGAGACAAAAAAGAGCTCCCAACGCCCCTCAAATGGAGTAAAATGACCACAGTAAAATGACCACAGTAAAATGACCACATGGCCATGTTAGCCCATGCGTCCCTTCATTTTCGCCCGGGTGGCCCTTAATTCTGGGTACTGACCCCTGTTGTTTTAAGGGTTGGCCCCCGGAGAACTCCAGGCAGAACCCGCCGTCCGAATCTCGGCTCCTTGGAGGCCTTGGAAGACTTGGAGTCCCGCCTGCGAGAAGCGTTTCAGTGGCTTCCGCAAGGCAACAACTGTATGTATATATATATATGGTACCCCCCCAGTACCCAGGTGTCGTTGCATCATGTATCAAAACCATTGATATTTACAGTGTAGTTTGATTGAACTCATGCATTTTCTGCAAGGCCATTTTGTGGACCAAAAACCTAAAAAACAAAAAACCAAAAAAACAAAAAAAACAATCCTAGCCCCCACCATGGCTGGGATTCTTTGGTTTTATTGTTTTTTGTTTTTTTGGTCCAGGGAAATGTTGCGCAACAAATTCCAAATGTTGCGCAACATTTGCGGAGCATGAGAGGATATGTGAACCTTTGTGAAAGAAGGCATGTGCTGGGTGAGAGGATATGTGAAGTTTCTGTAGAGAAGAGTTATTGAAAAAGACATGTTTTGTGTGAGATGACATGTGAGTCTTTGTGGAAGAGTCAGGGTTACAGTGATTCATAAAGTACAGCAAAAGACAGTAAACATCGTGTAAAACCACCGTGTATGTAACACAAACTGTCCCAGCCATAGCCTGGTTTTATTCTACACAGGGTTCCGTTTCCTTGGCAACTCTTGCACATATGCTGCCTTTGTTTCATTGAAAGAAGACATGTAGAAAGACATGTGTTGGGTGAGAGGATGTGTGAATTTTCTGTGGAAGAGTCTTTGAGTGAAACAAGGCATGGTTTGTGTGGGAAGATATGTGAGTTATCTGTGGAAGAGCCTTTGAAAGAAGGCATGGTTTGTGTGGGAAGATATGTGAATTGAATTTTGTGTGGAAGAGCCATTGAAAAATGGCATGGGGTTGGTGAGAGGATATGTGATTCCTTGTGAAAGAAGGCATGCAAAAAAACATGTTTTGGGTGAGAGGATGAATGAATTTTCTGTAGAGAAGAGTTATTGAAAAGACATGCTTTGTGTGAGATGATGTGTGAATATTCTGTGGAAGGGTCTTTGAAAGAAGGGGTTTGTGTGGGAAGATATGTGAATTTGCTGTGAAAGAGCCTTTGACAAATGGCATGTTTTGGTGAGAGGATATGTGAACCTTTGTGAAAGAAGACATGTTCTGGGTGAGAGGATATCTGAATTTTCTGTAGAGAAGAGTTATTGAAAAAGACATGTTTTTGTTCGAGATGATATGTGGGTCTTTGTGGAAGAGTCAGGGTGACAGCGATTCATAAAAGTACAGCAAAAGACAGTACATATCATGTAAAACCACCATTTATGCAACAAAAACTGCCCCAGCCATAGCCTGGCTGTGTTCTACACAGGGTTCACTTTCCTTGGCAACTCTTTCACATTTGCTGCCTTTGTTTCATTGAAAGAAGACATGTAAAGAGACATGTGTTGGGTGAGAGGATGTGTGAATTTTCGGTGGAAGAGTCTTTGAGTGAAACAAGGCATGGTTTGTGTGGGAAGATATGTGAGTTATCTGTGGAAGAGCCTTTGAAAGAAGGCATGATTTGTGTGGGAAGATATGTGAATTGCATTTTGTGTGGAAGAGCCATTGAAAAAGGGCATGGGTCACGTCCAGGGCGTCTTTCTTCAATGAGGCAAACCTCCTTCCTCTGGTCTCCCAGTGTGCAAATCTGAGCTATTCTTCCTGCCTGCTTGCGCGGACAAAGCACATCTGAACCAAGCCCAAACCTGGGTACCTCGGGGGGGGGGGGTAGCATATATATATATATATGGACCCTGGCTTGGTGAGTTTGAGTTGTTTATATATATATATATGGATCAACACAGTGTTTTTGATGTCATTTGATGAAGAAAGAAGGAAAGTTAATTAGTTCATGGGAGGGAAATTATATACTAGGTCCTCCAGTAGAGAGGTTAGAATAAGGGTAGCCTATTTTCTGTAGTCTATTTTAGTAGGGGAACCCTCCCCAAAAAAAGGGGTGAGAAGGGCACTGCTGGGGACCTAGTATGGCGAGCTTGAGCTGTGTTAACGTCCCCTTTTGTTTTTATGCCGTACACACATATATATATATATATATATATATATATATTTGTATCCCCCCCTCCGCCGCCAGGGATCCTTAGAGTCTTAGAGTGTCCTTCTGACCAGAAAAAGACCAGAAAAAGGGGCACCCCCCCCCCCAACATTAAAAAACAACTCCAGGTACAGGAAAAGGCCACTCCGAGTCACCGTTGCTTTTTGCCAGGGTTTTGTTGCGGCTGGTGTACTTGCAATACACTATGCAGTTTTGGTGTATGGCTGGTGGAAGTGTTTTCTGGTGTACTTGCATCAGAAGCGCTTCATTACGGGAAACGTTCAACATTCCTGGATTTTGCAGAGCCCGTCTTGTTGTCTCCCCTGTAAACTATGAGTTGCTCGAACGCATCGCGCTTGAGCAAAGAAAGAACCTGGGATTGTTATTGTGCCCTTTTGGGCCATGCGTACTTGCCAAAATACTGCAATCACGACATTCATAAGATCAATTCCATGTAGCTTCCTTGGGTAATTTCACGATGAGCGACTCAGCTCTCAAATTGGGTGTGGCTCAAAATTAAACAGGAGGGGTTACGCAGGTTTTGGTCCATTTTTCCACTTACCAGGGTTCCATTTTGGTACCTGTTTTCTGATCCACAGCCAAATCACTGGCACACCAGCTCGCAGTGCGTGCTAAAAATTCCGGGCAGGCGACCGATGTCGGTTCCAGTAAACACTATCAGACAGGATTGGCTGCCCTTGTCAGGCTGCTTTTGGGCGCAAAGTTCTTGTTCCTAGGTCCTCTAGTAGCGAGGTTAGAATAAGGGTGCCAACTTTTCTCTTTAGTTTATTTTAGTAGGGGAACCTTCGCCAAAACAAGAACGGAAAAGGGCACCGATCGCTGGGGGGCCTAGCTTCTTGCCAGGCCGAGGAATTGCGTGTTCTTCACAGGGCCCTGCAACCATTCGAGTCATCTGCGCTTCGCTTTCATCCAAACGAGGTTCGCTATCTATAGGACGCACAAAAAAAGGGATATGTTGATCGGGCACGGCTCGTGAAAAATGATGGCAATGATGGCACAAACATGGCACAAAATAACGGCTTGAGGAGAAAAACAAGAGGTGAAAGGCGCAAAATGAAAAAGGGCTATGCACTATGCCCGAGTAGTATGCAACCCAGTCTCTGACATGGCTTTTGCCAGACCCCTGGGTCTGGTATGGCTCTAATGTGATCAGGGTCAAGCTGGGATACTCTCTCGCTTCCGATCGAGTGGATTGGCAAACAAAAGTTAAAACATGCTGTTTGCCACTATATGGTCTTCCCCCCCCAAAAAAAAGTAGAGTCATAAGTCATGAACTCCGGGAGTGAGCTGTGTTGGTTGTGGCCCGAATCGCTCCAATGCAGAATCTGAGTCCAGGGATGCCGCGGAGAACCCTTCCCATGCCGACATGTCGAGTTCAAGAGCGGAAAAAAAAGACAGCCCCCCCGGCCCCGGTTTCAAATACGTGGCATTTAAACCTTGAGACAAATGCCACAAACTCTACAAAGCATCAACGAACAACTTGCCCGGTCTACGCTTGGAAGGGCCCATGTATTCCAGGGAGCTCACTCTTCCAGGATTTACCAGATGGGGAAATGCAGGGACCCACAGTGTAGAAACCGAAACAAATCCCTGGGTCTTAAATCAAAGGGCAAACCAATGCAAGGAAAACAAGCATGCTTTCCAGCAATCGGTTTTCTGGTTGAACCCAAAGGTGGGACGGTCGAGCAACCCGGGGGTGGAGAAAAGAACGGGCCCCAGCCGGGAGTACGGCCAAGCTTGTTTAGTTGTTGGAATCCTGGGCCTGGGTTGTGACAACCTGGTCTCGGCTGCTTTCTGCTCCCCTGCTAAAAGTTTGACTTTTAGTGGTTCAATGGAAACCCCATTAATTGGCAAAAAGGTAAAGTTATGCCCCCTAGAAAAAGGGGTCCAAACTCCCCACACTTTGGGTAATGACTCCATTTTTACAGGGTGAGAGGGAGACTCCAGGTACCAAGATTGTTTCAGTGCTGAGACATATATATTTTTCCCCATAGTAAAAGACCTCTTTTTTTCAGCCTGAGGGGTGGCATGACACCTCAAAAGAACCGTCTTTTCTTGCCCGGGGGGGGGGGGGGGAACGAGAGTCTCAATCAAAACCTGGTGTTAAAATGGTCTACCCAGAACCATGTAAAGAATTAAGAAGGCGGATATCCGCAACTATTTCTGGCTGGGACTGCCCCTTACTATCCGGATCATCTACCCAGGTTTTGAGCAAGTGGCTCGAAAAACTCCGCTCTCCGCCGGCCTGAAGGGATCTTCCCTGAGGAAGTGGTTGCCTTGAATCGACGTCATGGCGGAGGCCAAGTCCGCCTCAAGCTCCTGGCGGCAGACGGACGGCCCGAAGCAAAAAAACTCGAGGGGGGCTACATGGGTTCTGCTGGCTTGGGCCTTACCTGGAGTCTCCTTCTGACCCTTAAAAAATGGGGTTGCCCAAAGTAATGGGGTCATGGACCCATTTTTGATTCGGGTCATGGAGAGTCTAGGTACTAAGTATTGATAGAACCAGGTAGTAGAACCAGCAACTCACAGGGCCAAGAGGGGTAACTTCCATGTCCATTCTTTCCCAGGGATCCAAATCTTTCTAGAAAACCACAAAAAACCTGGGGAAATGCCTGTTTTTTTTTTTTTTAAGACCGATGGATGAAATGGGGAATCAGCCCCTAGAAAGACGGCAAGAACATGGCGCCTCCTGAGCCCTACCTGGAGTCTCCTTCTGACCTTTAAAAATGGTTCATCTCCCACAAGAGGTTCTGACAAACCAGTTTTAAGGGTCAGAAGGAGACTCCAGGTAGAAAAAGGGGTGATCACTCCTTAAGTTTGGGGAATGACCCCCCAGTTTGAGAGGGTCAGAGAGGGAGACTCCAGGTGGTCACTGGGTGATCGATTCGCCGAGCTAGCAAGTTGTTGGTCACCCAGCTTATAATCCACCTAAAAGCCAAGTCTAGAATGTAAAGAACTCACAAGGCGGCTGCACCCATTTATGATTGCAGTTATCCCTTCATCTACGCACCCCGGGTGATGATTGTGGCTCAACTGGGGGTGTAAATGGGGGACTCTCCCGGAACATCTCCAAACCACCGGGATCCAACCCACCAATGAGAGCGCAGCTGATTCTAGACCCTCAGCTGACACTTTCCTGTCTGAGAAAAAAACATGTTTGGGGGAAAAAAATGGCTCTGAGAAAAATGTTTGGGAAAAAAGGTTGGCAACAATTGAACACTTAACGTGGCTGATGTCCGGCTTGGCTTCTTTGAACATCATGCCCCTTTTGTGGGGTAGGCAGATTTCTGCGGCTTTTGCCCACAAGCAATTCAACGACTCGGGCGGGGGTATTGGACGCAACAGATTTGGATTGCTTTGCATTGTAAGGCAAACCACCCGTTTGAGAGAAAGACCCGCTTGAGCGTGTTCAGAATTGATGCAGCGACTTTAAACAGAACTTTCTTTTGGTGAATTCCGTGCCGGTGTTTTCGCGTTGACTCAAATCTGCTGCTCAGTTTGACCACCACGTTTCAGTTGGACCCGGGTCACCTTTCTTGAGCCCTTTGACCCCGGCAAGATGCAGCATGCAGAACCTGCGCGCGGATTTTGCTTGAGAGAGGAACCCAACGGAGAACCACATTCTTTGGGGTCCTGCAAAAAGACACACCCATATCCAGGGTAGGTAAGGAGCAAGCAAGTCAGTGCCCCGAGTTGCCACTCGCAGCAAGCCACGGATCCAAGAAGAACCTCCTGATGGATGTTGGGGGGTGCCCCCCCTAGGGTTCAGACCAAAAGTACACACGGTTCTACTTAGATGCTGGATCAGCATTCAGTACATGCTACACACGTTTCCCGTGCAAGCGATCAGGAACCCGAGTGGTTTTTAAAGGGAAACCTAAAGCTTGCCACCGCTTTTGTGGACGTCCAAAGACTTAAAGAAGACGAGCACCCAAAACACGTGCAGCGGGTGTGAAGACCATACCCCACCGAAGAAACCAAAAAAGCAACTACCCCCGAAAGCTCCAAATACCAACGCATGGTTTAGTTCTTATGTTTGAGAAACCGACGGTTTTCCAGTGTAAAAACATATTTGTGTAGTAGAGGGTTGACGTGCTACCAAAAAAACACGGGTGTCTGGAATGAGGTCCCACTTCGAGGCAAGACATGTCCTTTTCGAATCCTAAGGTATTCTTGCCTCCAGGTTTCACACAATGATTTCCCTAGCAACGATAGTGGCAAGTAGAAGCACTGGAGAAGAATCATGACCCTTGAGAACTGGGGCATGTGGGGTCGTACTTCAAGGGTCCCCGCTACAAACAACAAACACAGGTAGCCAAGCTTCAGGGCTCATGGCCTTATTTTTAACGGGTTCAAACGAGACTCAAGGAAAGAGCATGTGTTTCCAACCTGCGCAAAAGAGTCCGGGACCAATCGAGTCGATTCGTCCTCCAAGCTGAGCTGCAAAGCGGAAGTGCTGCCATGCGTCAAGAAGTACTTGTAGTCGTCGAAACTGGGGTTTGGCAGGAAGCACACCTCGGGATTGGCAGAATCAAGACGTCAAATGCCCCAATTGTCATTTCTCTGGCTTGGTTTTCTGAGGGTTGGAAAAAGGAGACCTTTTTCAGGGTGGACCAGGTTTAGTGGGCACCAAGGAACTACAGAACCACCAAGTCTTGGAAGCAATGCTTCCCTTTGCCTAGCTGATTAAACATTGAGCTTCCGCCCCTCCCCCCCCAAACAAAAAACTCCATGGCAAAGCTGGCAAGGTTGAAACAACGGAGCTGCCCCCGCAAAAGCCAAGGCCACAACTGCAAGGCCAAAATTTGAAAGGCCGAGCTTAGCAATCAGCCCATCGTTCCGTGTGCCTTCTCAACTCTCACGAGGCAGTCAGAAGCCTCGTCCTTGAAACCCTCTCCCGCCTATTGACATCGAACGTCGGAAAGGTTACAACTGGCCGGGGGGAGTAAATTTCAGGGCACCATCTTGATCGCTTCACCAGATTTCTGCCCGTAGATGCTTCTTTGTGTATCTTAGACATCCTATGGTTCAAAGGCAACCTCGCTGGGAGTTCCCTGGTCGGAAGGTGGAACGTTAGCGCGTTCAAGCACAGGCAGGCTAAAAAGAGTCACAAGGCAGCCCCCCCAATACTCCAAATACCTGTTTTGTTAAAGGGTACAATCGGGGGGGGGGAAAATAAAAACGGAATTTGATGGCACTGGCTATTTTAGTCGGGGGTGACACACTAGGTTGACACAAGTTTTGGTACTTGAGTAGGGGAAAGAAAGGCAATTGTGAGAGCCTTGAAATGCCAGCATCTGGCTGCGCGAAGAACAGGCCACCTGTAGCGGCATGCGCTTAAATCGGGTTTGTGTGTCGGTAACCCGATATTAGTGAAGGCGAAACCATTTCAGGATCCGGATCCTTTTGATGCCCTGTACTCCAAGTACCCGTTCTTTTTCGGGTATCATGCCATTTCGGGCCCGCACTATCCCGCACTCCAAGAACCCGTTCTATCTAGGGTATCATGCCACCTCTCAACTAAAAAGGTCTTTACCATGAACAACATCTCTTAAACAAACAAAGAAAACGTTGGTACCCGGACTCCCTCTCTGACCCTTACAAACAACGATTGGTCATTACCCAAAACTGTCCGAGATTCGAACCCCCTTTTCCTAGTCAGAAGGAGACCCTAGGAATTTGGCGCCTTCGCACGCGCGTTTCGATCGCGCCGAACGCCGAACGCCGAACGCTGCCGGTCCGGTCACGCCTCCACTTGCACCGCTTCGCGGCCCGTGGCGGTGTACTCGAACCAGCCCTTCACAGGCCATAGGGCCTGGCGATGGCTTGATTTGGGGTGGATCAAAAGGGTCGGGATGGCCACGGGATGGTTCTTTGTTAAGGAAACCACGAAAAACATGACAGATCAAAACGTGGGGGTTGATCAAAACCACTGAAAACATGGGATTTCAATTAAAACATGAAGGAAACCGGGATCAAACCCAAAGTGATTCACGTTTCCATCTGAAAACGGGAGCCCAGGTCACTTGGGTGTTTTTTGATATGGGATGGCCATTGGGTAAGGAAAACCACAAAAAGATTTGATATTTCAACCTCATGGGAAAAGTTACCCATGGTCATTTGGGGCTAGGAATATTGATCAGTTTTCAGGTAGACGCAAACCCGGCGTTCCGGTTTTGGGAAGGTTCGATCACCCGTTTAAGTCTATCTTGGGGGGGTTCTCCAAAACTGGAACCCTGGCTAATTGATTTCACACCTTGCAAATGGCAATGCAGGCCAGAACGCAACAAAATCAAAAGACACAGCACCACAAACAGCTGAGGGTGTAGTTCGGTGTCCAAAAAGTTGTCAAAGTACGTCCTTGTGGTTCTCACAAGGTACGGCATGCTTAGGAAAAGGAGTTCAGCCTCCAATTCGGGCTCACCTCCCTCCCTGAAAGCGGGATCTGCCCCTTAGCACAAGGAAAAGAGACTCAAGGGGGCACCCGGGTACAAGGCAAACGTATGTTTGGTGGTTTTAGCTTCGGTTGACTGGACCAAGGTTCCTTGGGTTGTCAAAACCAGGCTTTGGAACATTCCCAGGCAATCCATGTAGATAACATGTTGGAGGGTAAAGTTGAGTACTCTTGCATACTTGGATTGCTTGGGATATGTCGAAACAGCCTAATTAGGGGCTGAAGCGGAAGACTTCAGTGGTGCTTCGGGATGGAATGCACCTATAAAGCTCAAAAGGTAGGGTGTGGTTAGCAGATCCCTCAAATGAAGGTTGCAACATCTTCAACCAACCGCTTTTCAGGTGCAGGTCGCTATTAGAATTGAAGCAACCCAAGCGTTGAAATGGGTCTCGATTTTCCTTTGGACTGCCCTTTGAAACCACCAAACAAGGCTACCATCAAAAAAAGGCACGCTTAAATGGACCATTATTGTAGGGGTTGATTCCCCATTCTTTTGAACCATCGTTCTTTCAAAAACCGATCCCTGATTTCCCTGGGTTTCCCGAGGTTTTCTAGAAAGAAGGATCCCTGGAAAGAATGGGGAAGGTAGCACTAGATGTATGGTTCATTTGGTGCTCTATGGTTCATTTGGGAGGGAGCAAACTGAAATTCCGAAAAGCCAGGTATTTTCACCGTGGCTCTGGCAGAAAGCGCACATGTTCGGATCCCTGGAAAGAATGGAATTGGAAGGTTCCCCAGAATTGTTTAAACCAAAGGAAAACCAGGCTACCATCAAAAAACAGCCACGCCCAAATGGACCATTGTCTTCCATTTGCTTAAGCCCACGGGAAAAAATACAAATATTTCCAGGAGTGATAGATTCCCTTTAAAACCAAAAGGGAAAACTAAAACAAATCTTAAGCAAATGGACCGTTGTTTGCCGGGAAGGGAAACCCATCAGCTCGATGCTCCAAGCGACGAGGCCACGTCCAGGGCCTCCTCCCTGAGCTGGTCCACGAGGCGACGGGCCATATAGCCGCGCCACGCAGTCTGAGAAAGGCTCTTGGTCAGTTGCGTTGTTTTGATTCTGTACTTGGCTGGAATTAGGACCCCAGCAAAAATATGTATACATTTTGTTGCCTGCTTAGTGGCGAAAAAAAAGGGTTCCCAAAAAAGCAAAAAATAAAAAGGGGAACTAATTCTGGGTAAGTTTAGTGGGGGGCTGCAAAAGACAGAGTTTGTTGCTACCATACCAAGGCTTGTGAAGATGGTTGTGACCTAAACCAAAACACGTGGCCTTTTGGAACTTTGGGGCGCCAGAGGAGCATGTGGTTTATCTGGGATCCTGATGCATTATACACCTGAACATTGCCTTGTAAATGGTGGGGTTGGTGTTGAAAAAGCAACATGTGTCAAATGGTTGCAAAATGTATATTTTAAGCAGCCCTGTTTATATTTTGGGACCACATGGTTTATCTGGGGACCACGTCTTTAAGGTCGCCTCCAAATGCAATGTAGGTGGGAGGATTTGAACCCACTTGTTTTTTTGTTTGGGGGGGTATTACCCACATGGACGTTCATCAAAAGGTCCGGTAAACATGGGGTGACCATTACGGAAACCACAAAAACACAGATGGACTTTCACCTGATGGGAAACGTTAGCCATGGTCATTTTGGGGCCATGAATCAATACCCCCCCAATACTTCACCAGACTTAGACCCCCTGCACAAAGTTTTGAACTGCTTGTTTCCCGCATCGCGATAGGTCGTAACAGCTAGTTGAAAGGTAACATGATGGCAAACCAAAAAGGCAATCAGTTCAAAAGGAAAGCGAAGCGCTTGCAACAAAACAAAACCTGGGCAAAAGAGCAAACAGTGGCCACACAGGATTTCCTCAACCTTGCACTTCTACCCCAACCTGGGTTCGGAGAACCCCTGTTTTGAGCGGTTTCCCTTCTTAAAAAAAAACTACACAAGGTACCCTCAAGAAAACAGTCGCACGCGGTTTTACGGGTACCCTCTCTTGAGTGGCGTAAAGGGAAAAACCACGAGGAAACCAACCCATTTTCAGAGGCAATGGGAAAAAAGGGACAAAAAAAGAAAAACACACACACACATGACCTTCAAAACTCAAGATAAACTTCCGGCAAAGCTCGGCTCGGAACATGAGAAAAAACAATCAGAGTTCCCTATACGTCTGGCATCACCCCGCAGAGAAACTTACTTGAGCTCTCAGATGGTGATGTTGAAAACCACCAAACATGGAACTATTGCGAACACAGCTGGCCTTTTGGTCAAATAGATGGCTCTGGTAAATGGCTCATAAGATCAATCTAAACCAGTGGCACTCATCTACTTCTAACCAAACCAACCGATCAAAAAGACACCTATGGTCACCACTCCCTAGCCCCTTGGACTGTAAATGCGGCACGATTCCTGCGGGGGGAGTCTCATCTCCCGAAGCGGGGGACCCCTACGGTGGATGGACGAAATCCTGCACCACCGTTCAGAACCACTGGAATGATGATTTCCCTGTAAATACCAACCAACAGGGGTTTCCGTGATTCCCAAGTGGTGCAGGATTTCGTCCATCCACAGTAAGGATGATCCTGGCGTTTTGGTCGATTCGACCCCAAAAAAGACCCCCCCAAAATTACCAACCAACAATGGTGTCTCATGGTTGCTTAGGTGGTGCAAAATGGATTCCGTCCATCCACAGTATGATTGGGGGAACCTTGGAACCAAACGGTGCAATTCCAGACCTAGCTGTTGGAAAAACTGGAGCCACCGGAAGGGAGTCCGGTCACCTCAACTCCGAGTTTTCTTTCGAGTTTTGGGTTGTGCCCCCACGTTCAAGCGGGTGATGTTTGTTGTTTTGTGGTTTTCCTATTTTTCCTTATTTGTTTGTGACTTGTGGTGTTTTTTGTTGGTTGTTCCCTTTCCTTCTTTGTTTCTTTGCTTTTTTTGTCCGGAAGGTTCCCGGTTTGGGGCTTAGAAAGGAAACCAAACGGAAAGCAGCGCCGCTAAAACAGGGGCGCTGCGAAGCTCAGACAGCACCAAACCAACAGCAGAAAACCAAAAGGGTGGTCAAACCCAACTGAGTCACAATCAAAACCCGGTATAAAATGATCGATCCCCAGAATCAAGAATTAAGAAGGCGGATTCCCGCCACTATTTTTGGTCGGGACTGCCCCTTACTAACCGGATCATCAATCCCCGGATTTTGAGCAAGTGGCTCAACTGATGCCAGGCTACCATAGTAGGTAACACGTTCGCCGTGAGACCTTTGAACTTTATAGGGTGGCCCCGGATGAATAAACCCCGGTTTATTAATATGGAGGGTGTTCCCCTCTAAAAGTGATGAATCCCCACTAAAACCAGGGACAACCCCATATTTGTATACCAGGGTTTACTAATCTGGGGTCAACATTAAAGGGTGCGCCCTGAGTCGCCTTTGGACTTGAAAGGGTGGCCCCTTAGTTGTCCTGTGCAAGGAAATGGCATCCCTGGAGAAAACCAACTAACAGGTTGGTGTACAGATTGAGGAACAAACGCGAGTATTATCCGTGTTTGTTCCTCAATCAGCACACCAACATGAAACCAGAATGATTCTCTGGAAGCTTGACGCAAGTTCAAGTCATGTAACATGTTGTTCCAGAGAACACACACTTCAATCAGTAGGCCTCACAGGGTACATATTCTTAAGGCTTGTTTTCTTCTTAGAGGGTGCAAGACCTGACGTGGTGTCACAGAACCAACAAGTTTGGAGGGTTGGACTTAGGATAACCAAGCATGGGTGGGGTATTGCTTGTCAGTGGACCTGATCTATCGGGAACACCTGAAACACGCAAAGGCGTCTTGGAGTCCAGTCCTGCGCATTCCAGAAGTCAGCTCTGGTCAACTCTGCAAAGGTACCCCTAGTACCCACTTCTCTGGCATCATGTTTACACACTAACATAGGTGGTACTTCCACTGAAAAGCATGGGGTTCCGACCAGGGCTTTGGAGAAACCTACAGTGCTTTCAGGCAAACCACTATAGTAATCATGGCAATCCATCATGCAAAGTAATTAAGGAGGTTTGGTTACCTATAGTAGTGGTATAGGAATGAATCGTGGCATTTGGACCGGTTCTTGGCTTATCACTATAAGACTTCGAGTACTTGAGCTACCACCCGTTTCCTCTAAACCCGAACGGCAACATGCGAGTGGGTTTCTGAAGGCCGATACGGATGGTTGAAACCATCTGATTTCGTTCAACCATGGCATGTTGTTTGACTGTCATCCTCTTCCAGTCGCTTGTTAGATTCAAGGACTAACACTTGGTGGCTCAGCAACCATGAAACATGTAAAACTTTCATGATTGTTGTAGAATCTGACACTAGACTAGTCTAGGTGGCTAAGGAAGTACCTATGAAACATATTAACTTTCACGAGTATTGCAGAATCGGACACTAGACTAGTCTAGTGTTCTCAAACATCAGTGGCTTGCAGCCAGCGGCACACCCAGTCACGAAAACCAACAGTGAGCTATCTGGAATCCTTGCAAAACGCTGTAAGAATTAAAGTGATACCCACAGAAGCCATAGAAATCTCGACATGATTGGAATCCTTGAAACAAGCTGCAAAAAAAAGGGATACCCACAGAAGCCCTCTGGAGGTTTACGGGGACATCCATAGGAATTTCGAAGAAACCTTCAACATGATTTCCACTTTCAGGGAATGCAGTCGAACCTCCTTGAGTTGCAATGGGTTCATACCAGAAACAACAAAAAAACTGGCCATTGGCAAGCAGAACCAAAACTAGGTCCTCCAGTCGAGAGGTAAGAATACCGGGTACCCTCTTTTGCAGTAGTCTATTTTAGTAGAGGAACCCTCCCAACCAAAAAAGGGGTGAGAAAGGGCACCTAGCTGGGGGACCTAGAAAAGCATCACCTCGACACGCCTGCATCATTGTAGAGGCTTTCTTGATGACCAGGTCCAGGACATCACCCTCGTAATCCTCAGCCGAGCTGTCGCGACATCCCTTCGTTGCCCAGTGATTCCGTTTACCAACCTGCTTATTTACCACTAAAATGGTCCAACCCCAAAAAGCTTAAAGTTCATAAACTCAGGGTGAGAAGTCTACCCTGTACTCAGCTTCCCTCTAATTGGTGGTTTGGAGTACTGGTTTGGAGGTGATCCGGGGTGGTTTACCATGTAGCCTCTACAAGAACGAGGGACCTGGTCAAATTCCCAAACCAATCGAGACAACCACGCTAAGGCTACCAGATGTATAGTATGGTCTGCCCAGTAATTCCATTTCCCTGTATCGGTAACCAAGGGCTTGCCACCCTTTAAAAGCCAAAAGGAAATTGGCGAAGGGTTACCTATAGTTGTAACTCTTGCTGGTTCTCAGCAGGGAATGAGAAGTGGAATGACTCATCCATTCGATTTGGTTCCCTTTTTTCCGGAATCCCCATAACCGGTTCGTTCCTTCCCACCCGGACTCGTTGCCAGTCATACAAACCAAAAGGCAAATGGATGCCTATCCTTCTGACCCCTAGAAACAGGGGTCATAGCTCACAACCCAAGTTTGGGTAATGACCGCATTTTTACCGGAAGGAGACTCCAGGTCTCGTCAAGAGACAGTTCCTTTCAGGGGATTCCAGAGAGGCTTGATCCAGGTCGATCCCTGGTTTGATCCTCTGGTTTATCCCCACTTCTGTGATACTGTTGGGAATCTCCTTTCTGTTGTATCACAGAAGTGGATTCCATTTCAACCACAGCTCCGACTCCGGTCGCTTCTCTTTGCCTGTTTCCCCTCGAAGAAATCCGAAGGCTGAGGGCCTGACTGGAGTCCCGTGCCTCTTCAGGAAGACCTGATCCAGGGATCCAGGGATCGAGGGATCGAGGCAAAACACCACCGATTTGCCTTCTAACGGCTTTCACCGAAACGCTTCTCAAAAAAAAAGGCATGGGTGAAAAAAACTAAACACCAGGAATTGGCCAGCAGGTTTCATTCAAGTTGGTTCCGTTTTCCAGGGGTCCACGTTGGGTGCCTATTCTTGACTCGCAGCCACCTGATGTCGGAGTAACCCCAAATAACACACCCACAATCCACCGCAATCAACAAGGGGTATGAAAGGACTTTCTGATGTTGAAGCAATGCGCGGGAATACCCCCCAATATGACTGGTGTTGGGATTGGCGCGAAATCGGCAAGCTATAAAAGTAGTATTGGGGATTTTGGGTCTGGGGAAAACAATATTTACTAATAGGGTGCATTCATCAATACGGAGAAGGGACTAAATTGGACCGGGGTTGTGGGGTACTTTGAAATCCAAATTACGCCATGCCTCTTCTTCCCGTAGATGGAACCAATTCACAAAACTCACCAGCTGGCAAGTTGGCAGTCGTAGACTTCCAATTGCTTTTCCGCCCCCTGGGAAAAATCCAAAATATAACCAGTAGTGAAATTGATTCCCTTTAAAACCAACAGGGAAAAAACATATTCTTAAGACAATGGAAGGGTACAAGTACCTGGTTTCATTGAGCTAGGCCAGGGAAAAACAAAACATATTCTTCAACAAATAGAAGCTTCGTCCGACAGGTGCGCAAGTTGAAGTGGACTTCCAACACGAGCTGGAATGCCAGGCTTTGTCACGAAAACACGACTCAGAACACCCAAAACCAGATTAGGTCCTCCAGTAGAGAGGTTAGAATAAGGGTACCCGACTTCTTCTTTTTTCTGTAGTCTATTTGAGTAGGGGACCCTCCCAACCAAAGAAGGTTAAAAGGGCACTACTGGGGGACCTAGCCCGGCAAAGGGTTGATCCCATTCGACCCCTGTCACAAGTATAGCTTGAACCCATGCAAGGGTCTACTCCTCGGATTTCCTCATATGGAGCTTCGGAGCTGGAACTCATCGAAATCTTCGCCGGTGGATATACATGCCCTTCTAGAAACCAGCGGACACTCGTAGAAATATGGCCTCTCGGAATGACCTCTTTCCAGGGCTCGGAAGTTGCGAGGGTGCTGAGGGACCAAGGCGTTGAACTTTTTTTGGCATGGTTGCATTGATGGTTTGGAACTTGGCTACGTGGTGTTGCAATTGGTATAGGCATAAGTTGCGATGGTATTGAACTTTCTTTGCAACATGTGCTGCCTACCAATTCCAAGTGTTGCCTGATGCAGGCCTATTCAGCATCAAATAGTGTCATCCTGTGACAGTTTTCGAGTCTAAAGACAACGCGCCGAACAATGTTGAACCTCTGTAACAGCCTCATGCAACAAAGCACATCCTGACTGCGAAGATCCCTCCCACAAATCAAAGATGTGAGCCGGATTGAAGGACATATCAAGGGCCGAGTCAGGTTTTATGTGCCGAGGGTGCAGCACTGGCACATATTTTTGTGGTTTGCTGTGTTTAGAACCAATGGTTCATATAGGCTATAACCCCAGTTAACAACGTAGTAGAACCACAAAAATGGCCAAGGTGGGATTCGGGAGCTGCTCATTTACTGGGCACAAATCTGGGGAGCACAGACTCACTTCCTGAGAGGGTTGGCCCAAAACGGAACCAAACTGTTTTTTTACCACGAAAATGGTCCAACCCCAAAAAGCTTGCAGTCCATAAGAAGTCTACCCTGAGTTCAGCCTCTCTCTAGTTGGTTCCCAGAAATGAAAGGTGATGACCTTTTGTGGGGGGCACGAAGAACCAAATTTGGGGAAATCCAAAGGTTAGATCCGGCCAACTTGCTTGCCCAGACGCTCCTGGGGCTTCCAATGGAAGACCCAGACCCTCCATTGGACACCCCAAAGAGGTTTTGGGGTCTCTAAACCTGGCTGTTTGAGGGCCCAAAACAAATCGCGCGCGTCTGGGTGCTGAGAGAATGGTTTTGGGATCTTGGTGACGCCAGTTTCAACCCCGACCTGGACAGCTGCGGCGTTGGTCATGTTGGCTTTCCGGGCTGCCTGGCGAAGAAACAAACCAGGGCATGCGGGGGCCGGGGCCTAGTGCCATAGAAATGAGTGAATATGAAAACACGTGACGTCCCTTTTGGGTTCCACTTTTGGTGAAACCAAAAACAAGCATAAATATGACGTCCCCTTTTGGTTCCGCTCTTGGTGAAACCCAAAAAATCGCAACATCATCGGCTAGTTGCAAAATTACCTACTCCATCCAAACATTGGAACGACAAAAAACACGCAGGTTGTAAGCTTGGATTCGTGTCCACCAACCACTTCTGTTCTTCCTTGTTGAACAAAACAATGCCACATAATGATAAACCCGAAATAATCCGAAACACCCTACTAGTCAAAAGACCCCCTAACTTATATCATGTTCTCACACAAAAACTACTGGATTTCAGCAAATGGAAGCTCAAAGAAACGGATCCCCTTAGCTGAAAACCAAGGGATCCCTATAGTTTAGAAGTCCTTTCTTGTTCCATGGAGTTGGTTTGCGGGTCGATGCAATGGACATTTCCTGAATATCTGTAGTGCAAATGGTGTCATTCTTTCACGCGTCTTGCCTTACTTCATATTGTCATTCACAGCCTCTCTCTCTCTCTCTCTCGCGCTCTCTCCTTCTATCTCTTTCTCTCTCTACACTTCCTTTACTCAAAGTTGATCTCTCCCAGTCTTTCCCGAAACATGAATGGACCCTCCAACATGACCTTGTCCTGATCCGACCGGAATCACCCCCCCGCCCACAAAAAGCAAGAAGACAACAACACAACCTTTTTGCTGAGGGAAATCGATAGACATCCACTGGGTTGGTGCGGAAACTCAAGGGAAGTCCATGGCAAAAGGCCCAAGGTGATTTAAGTCTGGCAATGCCTCAGTTCCAAGCAACGGGGATTCCAAGACAGTGATTTTCCGGCTGAAAATCATCCAAAGCTTAAAATCAAGATTAAAGGGCTAGGACCCCTTTTTCCGGGGATCATGGAGACTCTAGGCATCGAATGCTCCTAATCTTCGGCGTCTCGATTCTGATCCCAAGCGACAAATCGGTCCCGCCTCCCTCTTGTGGCAAATGAGGTTTGTGCCTCGAAATCATGGAAAAGCAGTGCATGGAGCCTTGTAGTGACAGAACCCTGGTCCAACCTTTCTTAGAGACACCCCTGGGCCATCAGAAGCACCGCCGCGAATGCAAGACGAGAAAGGAGCAGGCAAAGCAAGCTGGAATTCACTATGATGTGTGGTTGGTTCACATGTTTCACATCCAAGCAAATTGCATCCCCAAAACCAATCGATTCGGCTCGATGAACTCGGGCACTGCCGATGTTGACCCAACCAACCCCGGAATCGTCGAGACCTACGATCAAACACTGATGCAACATGTTCTTTGGGGGCCCAAACGCAAGAACCTCGCCATGTCAATGTGTTGCTCGTAGGAATCCACCAGGACCTCCAGAAACCTAGGGCTTTCCTTCTTTGGTTTGGCCTTTGGGTTTCCTGGGTCTCAGTTGGTCTAAAGCTAGGGTTTCCTGGGTTTAAGTTTTGGGTTTCCCGTAGGGTCTCAAACAACTTTGCTGATGGCTTCTCTTTGGCCCAAGACGTGGCGGCTCGGTCAGACTCGGTCAGACTGTCAGATCAAAATCAGTACCCCAGTTGCAGACATAACAGGCAGCCAGCGTTCCTCACAGGTTCTTGGTCATGGGTCATGTACCTGGAGTCTCCATGACAACTAAAAAATGGTTGGTCATTGCCCAAAATAATGGGGTCATGGACCCATGTTTGAAGGGTCATGGAGAGTCTAGGTAGTTGTTTTCCCACAGGACACCGCACGCTGCACGCCGCAAAGAATCCAGACCGCCCAGACCGCGTTCGCGAGAGGGGGTTTCCCCATGGCACCGGAAGCTGGCAGGATGGCGGCCAGTCGGAGGGCTCCAAAACTGCCCGGTGGCACCGCAAAGTTCAGGCGGCCCAGATGGGCCGCGCAAGAGGACAGGGGAGTGCAATGGCCAATGTGGGGCGCTCGGCCGAACAGATGAAATGACACACAAGACAACATCGGTGCAATTTCCATGTTGCTGGTCTTGCCCTCCAGTCAGACAATAGAATGGAACTTCAAAGTGAGCCCCTGAAGAGCGCCAAAAAGCCCGGGGTGGGGGGGATGGCACAACGACTCCGGATGGCTGGGCCAGCTGCGTCTGACGAGCCAGCCGCGGAAAACGCCTCAAGGGTGATGTCACGGCATTTGACATGAAAAAAAACATGCTTCCAAATGTACCCTGTAAACAAGTATATTTGGAGTATGTACCCTTAAACAAAGGGTATTTGGAGTATGTTGGGTAACATTCCAGGCAAAACTCGGGTGAAACAGTTGGTCCCTACCTTTAAGGTTTGACTTAACATTGCTTCCAAGCTGGCAACCTATTGATCCAGAGCTGAGACATGCGAACAAGCAAAACACTCAAGCTCAAACATACTCATTGACTGATCTACATCAGTGTCAATGCCCCCTGCAAGGACGTGTGCCCTTTGCCCGGCACATTGTCACACCATGGTGTTCGGTGTACCGAACGGATTCCCCTCCGTAGGACAGAGGGATGCGGGTTCAGTTGCTAGCCTTCCCTCCAAAAGGATCAATGGATAGAATTGCAGGCGGTTCCAGCCCCCTCCCCGACTTCCATTTGGAAGGGGGTGGGGATGCAAAGAGTGGGGGGGTGCACAGCGCGAAAGGCAGGAAAACCTCACGCAGTGCAGGTGAGGAGCTCTGGATCTTGATGGCACATCTCCGCCTCCTCGCGGCTACCTGTGGACGGATAGGGGTCCCCCAAATCAGGGCTCTATATTCTAAGAAACTAATTACAGGACTTGGCCAATTTTCAGTAGACATTTCTTTGTCTGGTTTCTGTCATATAAGTTTCCCCTAGCGTCACTCCATCCAAAAGAAACTGACTTTCAAGGTAAAGTTTTTGAAACATCCCTTCAAGGGGAAGTATAAAGAACCCATCCAAACCTCCTTTGGGGATCAAACAGCCATTCCCATGGGTGTGTGACTGTGCGTATGCTGACGCTACCTGTTCCAGCCGGGTTTCAAGGGAAGCCCCACACAAAACGCCGCTTTAAGCGGGGGTCCCGGCGTACAGCTTTGGGGTTCGGTTCACGTGCGGAAGGTCAAACGTGCTGGAGCGCCAGCCCCCCGGTGGCAATTGAAAAGAAGGCACCTTCTTTTTTAGTTGATCTTCTAGGTCCAGTAGAGAGGTTAGAATCAGGGTACCCGCGTCTATTTGGGTAGGGAAACCCTCCCCCAGAAAAGGGCAGAGAAGGGCACGACTGGGGGACCTAGTTGATCTTTGGGGGAAACCCAAACAAGCAAAGGAAAAGGGGCGCAAAGGGAGGTCCAGGATACTGGCCGGGATGAACCCGTGCGGTTTGGTTTGCTTGCCCCGATCCTTTCCCACCATGAGTCCATTTGTCTACCGAACATTCCTTCGCAGAGTGTGATGGTCAAACCTTGCTAGTGTTGGGGGACCCGTCGTCAAAACATCTGAATTGGTCAGTCTCTGCAGTTGTGTTTTTTGCAATATGAATGTTTTTTTGTTGAGCGAAACTCAAAACAGAAGCTACCTGGTTTCTGCCTTCCCAAATGTGAGGACAAACATGATTCCTGAGACACACTGTGTTGACATTACTACAACGAGGGAAACACACCCTCTGGCATCAGGATCAAATATACATATTGAACAACCCAGCTAGGGTCATGTAGTGCGGAATATTGACACCAACAACAGCATGTTGGGCGAGCGGGGCTCGCTCAAATGCAGGCCCATGTGCGTTCTGAGGGTCATGTCAAAATTAGTTCATCTTAAAAACCACAACAAGCTCGCTCAGCAGCCAGTCATTGGATTGAAAAGCAGGAGCGCACTTATCATTTCAAAAGCGTCGGTACAGGACCAAGCAGGCGCACTTCGAGCGGGTGTGCTTCTCGCTTGGCAGGAGTGAGTACAGTGCTGAGCGGACGTGCTTGGTGATGTTGGTGTTGTTGGTGCATGTCGTTGTCGTTGTCGTTGTTGTTCTGTTGGTGGTGCTGCTGCTGCGGCTGCTGGCGGTGGTGGTGGTGGTGCTGGTGCTGCTGGTGGTGGTGGTCTGTGGTCGTCGTTGTGCCAAACTAAACACACAACGCAACGTCTGCCACTCCTTCCGCTACCCGCCCCTTCCGGGCCTTGAGCGCGTTCTCCACGATGCCCCGCACCGCGCCGGTGGCGATCTCGGTGGCCAGTTCAATCCGCGCCCATCGCATGCCCAGAAGACCCAGAAATCAAGGGGGTTGCCTTTGGGGGCCGCAGAAAACGGACCAAAAAGGGGAAAACAAAAATGTCATTTCAGGTTGATTCGCTTCTTGGGCAAGGCTGAGATTTCAAGGCAACCTGCGGAGAGCAGGTAAAGAGTCGACATCTTTGAGAAGGCAAGCAAATGTGAGAAGTTGCTGGCATGACGGTCTCTTACTCAGGGTTCCCTATATTTCCCCTTTGGGTGGTTTTAAGCGAAACCTTTTGGCCTAACTTGAAGCGAGCCTCCTGTCGGTGAGGTGACTTAAACAAAAAAAAGTGGACCCTAATGTTATTTAAACGAGCGCCAATGATTCAGGTTTGGCTTTCGGAAACGCATTGATCAAACACGTTCCAAGCCTTTGCCCCTTGGAGTATGTGCAAGATGGGACCCCCGCCCTGAAGCTCGGTGTTGCCTTGAATTTCCTTGTGCATGGCTGTGAGACCAAAACGGAACCTTGGCAAATGGAACGAAGGACTAAGACCTTTTTTAACCCTACCTGGCCCTACCTCTCTAATTTTGAGCCACACCCAAATCACAGCTCAAACATCCTGAAGAGCCCTTTGGCAAGGTACGGGGCTTCCGATGGATGCGGGTGCCGCAGTTCGCATGGAGAAGCCTTCCCCAGACTGGGAAACAGGGCAGTAGCCTCTGTTCAACAACGCCAGACAATCCATCCAGGTAATACATACCAAATTTGGATGGTACCCTCCCACCAACCAACATGGAAGTACAAACAAGCCCTTTCCAAGAGGAAAGTAGTCTTTTTCCAGGGGTCTGTGCACTTCCATGTTAGCTGGTGGGAGGGTAAATCTCGCATGGATTGTTCGGGAATGGCAGTGGACACTTCTCCAAGACAAAACTCCTCCAACACGCAGTCGGCTTTGAGAGGGCAAGCTCTACAGGGAAAAGGCACTGGTCGGGATCGCAACAAATCCCAACGCGCCATGGCGTCAGGCCCGGCCGCTGGGCCCTGCTTGATGAGGCAGGACTCCCTTACCCAGCTTCCCAGTCACATGAAAAGACCCGGAGCAAGATCCAAAGGGGAACCCCCATGCAGCAACTAGGTCCGCCAGATTTGAGAGGTTAGAATAAGGGTACCAACTTTTGTTGGCTGTGTCTATTCTAGTAGGGGAACCCTCCCGCAAAAAAGAAACGGCAAAAGGGCACTACTGAAAAAAAACATTGGCAAAGTGTGAAGCCCAATTCTTCCCTGCCACACATTGCGATTCACCAACTGGAAAAAGGGAACCCTTCGCGGGACCATTACTCAGTGAGGTGCGCTGGCGAGTTTCTTACTTGAAACTTCAGCGCCGTGGGTTTGCGATTCTAGGACAATTGTCTGAACGCTGGAATAAATATGAACCTGGAATCCGCCAACAAACACCATCATCGCCCCTTTGGACAGAAATATCATCATCAAATACTTATATAGGATAATTAGATCAAACATGAATCTGACATTTTTCTCGAGAACCACCCTTCCCTTTTCCTCCATTTGCTGAAGTTCCCTGAGTGATAGATTCCCTTTAAATACCAGAGGAACATCACACACACACATATTCTTCATCAACTGGACGTTTTTTTGGCAAAAAGGATGAACTGGACGTTTCTTGTCGGGAAAACACAAAAAACAAATGCTTCTCAACTGGACGTTTTTTCTCGTCAACAAGAAAACCGATGACTCCTCGACTCTCCCCGTTCCTCCCGTCTCAGGCCGGCACCGTCTTGGTCCTCTGCGCCCGTGTGCGGGTGAGGAACCCTGAGCCGCGTCTGCGCTCGTGGAATCGACCCGGCTGAACCCCGAAAGCCCCGATTTGACGAATACGTACCAACTCGGGCTTTTCTTTTTGAAATCCCTGGCTTTGGCCAAGGTAAACACCAATGCTTTTTCCTGGCTTGACATGATGCTTACTAAAACTAGGTATTTGGAGTAGGGAGGTGGAAAAGCCGAATTGCGTCCAAAGGGTTGAAGGGATTCGGTCACACCCGATAGACCAGCCATGCTATGCGTAGGATAGGTGTCCTGTGTCCTGCTAATATATCCGCATTTGCCAACCCCAAAACCATTTCCGTGAGCGGAATCTGCTTGCGGGGGATCAGTCTAGGGTCCATCCTATGAGATTGCAGAGTAGCATTAATACTGTGGATGGACAAAATCCTGCACCACTTTGAAACCATGGGAATCCATTGTTTGTTGATATTTACAGGGGAATCGAATCATTCCAGGGTTTCTTAGGTGGTGCAGGATTTCGTCCATCCACAGTATCATGTCGTTACAGACCTCCTGGCAGCTGCTTAGCTCCCTAAGAGCAAATTTGGCTTCTCTCAGCTCCCTAACGGCTCCCTTCCGACCTTCCATTTGCTTTTTCGCCCCTGGACAAAATGAGAAAATATGTCCAGCTAAAACAAACACAGGGGAAAAACAGAAAGCAAATGAAAGCAACCAACAGCTACATCAAACTGGAAACGCCTCAACTGGAGAGACGCGCACCTCGCGCCAGCTTCTGACAATGGACGGCCGCCACGGTGTCCCAGTTGTTGACGCCAACCTGAGAGGGAAAGGCCAGCCCACTCCACACCTGTAGCCCCCGTAACCTCCAAATAGACGCTAATTGTCGAGCGTCATGTCAACCCTGTAGGGTTTTCAATCAATGCATTAAACAAAAAGAGGGTATATAACTGGAGGGGGTAACTGGAACGGATGAGGCTCGGGCCGTGAAACACCATGAGCATCGTATAAAACGGCCCCCCTGAATGGATAAGGACGCCCCCCTACCTATGCACTTCGGGGATGACGAGCTGCATGTCCGCCCCTGCGAGATCCCTCCAAACTCAATGGATTCGAACGAAGCACCGAACCTACCTCCCGGTTTGCCTTCATTTGCGGATACGCCTGGACAACAAATATATACAACTCTGGCCAGCAACAGTTTCCCCGACTGCAGTGAGAAAAAAAGAAAGAACACATGCCTCATCTGAGCAAATTATATACATCACAAATCTGAAAAATAATCCACAGCTGGCTGGTGTATTAGCAGACCTCCTGTTTGCTCGTTGCCGTGTGCTAAAAATAGATCATACACCCCTGCTCATTTGCTCGTCCCGAAAAACCGGCCGGACGGAAATTCGGGGGCTGTCGTCCTGGCATGATTAGAGTTAGGCCCAGTTATAGAGTGTATGCTTTATTGTTTGCTTCACATGGAGTCACTGGTAACATGTAAAGTGTATCCTAAGTCTACCCCAAATGGCACATTCGCACGTTGCCTCGCCTTCTTAAAGATATCCACAAACTCTTCGCTCTCAGCAGGCTCGCCTGGACCGAACAACCACGCCAGCGCCGGCCGGCGTCAACTTCCTGGTGTCTCCTTCTGACCCTTTAAACACGGGGGATTACCCAACCAGGAGAAGGGGGGCCAAAGCAACCACGAAGCAGAAGGGCACCTTCCATGGCGTAGTTTTCCAATAAGACTGGATCGCAACTACCTATATAGAGTCTCCATGACCCTTCAAAAATTGGGTCATTACCCAAAATTAGGGGTTACGACCTTTTTCTAGGGCTCATGGAGACTCCAGGTAGTCGATTTCCACTGGCTCCCACAGCTAGGTTCTTCAAAACGGTCGTGGATGCCTAGTCCTAGTTAGAAACCGTAGTGGGACACCACAAACAGAAGGGAAACCACTAGCCAGGTCAAATGGGAACTCGTCTCGGGCTTTTTTGTCATGTGGAGACCAGGAACCAGGTGGACAAGCAAGGGACATTTGGAACTGAAGCTTGACAAAAAGTGCGGATAAATTTGTCAAAAGAAAGAACTCTGACACAGCTATATTATTGGGACCCTCACATGCCCAGTGCAAACTGATCAACATGACGTCTCATTAACAACTGATCGCCCCTCGCCCCACATGAGTGTCCTTTTGATTGCCCTCTGATCCCTTTCAAATCAAACTGACAGTGGTTCCGATTTTCCGTGCGTGTGCCCACCTCCTGAGAATTGCAGGGAAATAACCCCACTCTTGAGCCACTTTTTCGGAGGGACATAGCTCTAGCAAGGCAAAGTAAAGGGGTGCCTGCTGAAGTGGCTTGGAAACATGCCCAGACACTCCGGCTGAAGGAAATACCAACATTTCACCCATTTGGAGAGTAAATGTGGGTAAATATGCGAAGCACACAGTCGGATGGGCTGGTTAAAGCGTGGTTGAGTGGGATCCCAAAGCCACTCGAAGACCTCAAGGCGGCCCAAAACCATCCAGAATTCTCTTCCTTGGGTTCCTGGCCCCCGTTATGTTTCTTCTTAAGCGATCGTAATTCTATGGGTCTGTCCATGTCTTGAAGTTGATGCCCTTGCTAGGTTTGTACAGGGAGACCGATATTAACCCCAGCAGTTTGGGGTTCCCCTACACAAAAGCCCCATATCGTCCCGTCAGCCAACCACTGGGTGAATACAGGCCTTGCCTTGGAGGGTCCGAAATGGGCAGTTGAGGTACGTCCCATCGTTTTCGCATTGGTTTGCCACTGAAATGAGCCGCCTCCCTGTTTCAAGGGTTTCTACACTGGAATGAGCCGCCTCCCGGTTTCAAGTTGGCTTCTACACCGGAAAAGGGACGAACCAAAAAAAACAAAGCTTCCATCTCGCTCGCGGCGCAAAGCGCAGCGTTGATCGCTCGAAGGCTGGCGCCTGGCGCTTTGCCGGCCCAGGGCGCCATGAAGACGCGCCAGGACCAGGGCAGCATGCGCTGGTTCTTCGGGTTCAGGTTCAACGCGAAGGAGGCCTCCCATCGGATCCCTCTCGATTTTCAAAAGTGGGAGTTTGCCTCAATCCGCTCGATTTTATCGATCCCCAAACAAAAGCTTGGGTATTTTCAGTAGGTTATCAACTGGAAGTTGTGATTCTGGAAGTTTCATGGAGGGGAAGCCAAGTGGGCATCCCCCCAAGCGTATGGCCAGAAAGGCACCAAATGCCCAAGATTTGTTCTGAACCCAGCAAGCCAAGCAACCACGCTGAAAGTGTTGAACGCTCTCACCCTAAGACTCTTGGGACCTCAAACAGGCAGCCTTTAAGGCAAGTCCAAACCTTCCAATGGAGATCCCTTGCTTCCTCCATGGAAGGTCCAATTCCTCAGTGACTCAGGGCCCCAAAAAGGAAAGCGATGCAAGGCCCACCGAACCTCACAGCAGTTTCCCGAGGTCTCGTCGCTGGGCATGGATGCACAGTTATGCAGTATGCCTATATAAGCATCAATGGTGCAATCAACCACAAGCCAAATCAACAAAGCAACCTTACACCGCAACTACAAATTGCACAAGCTAACACATAGAGAACCATTCCGATATCCACTCGCGTGTTCCAGTCGCGAAAATGGTTGAATGCACCAAAGCCACGACCACTGGTTCAGAACGGGTCCTTCCGCAAAGGTAAAGTAGGCTTGCTTCCAGGTGGGGAAGTTTTTTTACCTTCCAGCCCCTGGGAAAGTCCGACCCCCCCGGTATAGACGTTGACTCCATACATCAACGTCTATCCCTAGTCTGCCATAGACCTCGAAGGGAAGAACATTCGTTGGGCAAGGCCATTGGAAGGTTCCATGGAATCCAAATGCGCCCTTTGGAATCCAAGCCATGTATAGGTATATTCATGGGTTTGTTGGCCACCCCTGGAGGGGACCCCCCGAACAAATAGAAGCGAAGGCCCAATAGCTCTTGGTTAGCCACTAATAGCCATGTTGCTTGATTTTGATACATGAGGCAAAATGTGAGTAAATGTCTTGCCTACATGGAGTGCTTGGGTTTGGGCCGGACCACTTTACTGCCTCCAAATACTCCCTTTTCCAGGGTGCTGTTTCATAAACCGAGCCATTCATGGCACACATTTTTTTTTGGAACAGGGTTGAAATGATACCCGAGAAACCCAAGAACCAACACCTCTTTGGGCTAGGAGGTAGCGGAGCTGCTCCTATTTCGTCCTCGCCATCCCAACTTCCTGCCCGGAGTTTGGATCCATTTGGAGTCAACGCGAGTTGGGCCAGGGATTGTTCTGGTGTCCCCAAGTTCCAACTCCAACAGCTCCACTTAAAGTCCCATGGATAGAAACATGCCCAGTATCGCTAGTTTATCTTTAAAACCAACAGGACAACACTTATGTTTAGGCAACTGGAACCAAACAAATACGCAAAAAGCAAGCAAAGCCATTGGACAATTTTCCTTTGCTCGCGCCTGGATGGGTGTCTCCCGCAAGTCCAGCTCATGTAGCTCCTTCCGCGCGAAGTAGATCTTGACCTCTGACTTTCGGGCAGAAGCCGAAAGCCGAAGGCGCGGGTGGTTTTGGGATTTCTGAAAAAAAACTGGCTGGTGCGATCAGGGAATGAGGGAATCAATGTGAGGGGATTCCCGAATAAACCAGTTGGATGGTTTTATGGGTACTTCTTGGTTGTTGACCCCCCTGCAAAAAGTGTTTCACTTTGGGGGGCTTTAGTGGAAAACACCTTTGTTTCAAGCAAAAAGTTAAAGTCTAAAGATCCAACCCACTAGCAGTCAAGACTTGCTGGTGCAATCAGTAGGGAATGAGGAAATGTGAATGAACCTGGGGATTTCCAAATAAAGGAAACCACGAGTTGGATGGTTTATAGGGGGTCATTCTAACTCATTCCCTGCCGAGAACCAGCAAGAAAAGATGACCCCTACTCCAAAACATGTTTTTTGTTGGTACGTGGTAGTCGTTGCAAGACATGGCCTTCCATGGGAAAGACCTCCTTTCTTAGAGGGTTGACATAATATCCTAAACACAGGTTGTTGGAGTAGGGGGGCAGCCAGGCAGCCATTGCCGAACCCCTGCGCAAGCTACCTTGCATTTGGTTGCAAGAAAAGCTTCAATCCAAGAAGTCCCCCCTTCTTCCTGGGAGACGGGATGGGCAAATCAACCACGAAGCAGTCAAGGGCACCTTCCATGGCCGTTGCAAGAAAACTGGGTCGCAACTAGTGGGGTTCGGATGGATGCCACTCCAACTTAATTACCAACAAACAAGGCTCCGGGTGAGGCAGCGGGAAACAGGAACATCCGCCAATCAACCAAGAGCTAAAGAATCCTCGAGAGGAACCTTCATGGGAAAGCTCCTCTTATCCTTGGTTGCCAATTCCCGAAAAAAGGAAAGGCCCGTTCATTCTTTCTTCTCTGCGCTAAACAACCTTCAGCTAGTGTTTGTAACAGTGAAGTTCCTTCTAAACTTCCCTTGATAAACTGCGCTTCCCGCAAGAGGTCGTCGTTAGACTTGTTTTTGGTTTACCGGCAAAGCCATCGAATTGCATCCCCATGATCTAAGGCGCGATTCGGTCGCACCAAAAATCAGCCGTCCAAACAGCACAAACCTAGCATGTCCTTACAGACCTCCTGGTAAAACTCTGCTCAAAAACAAATTTGAATACCCTCAGCTCCCTAACGGCTCCCTTCCAAGCAACAGCTAGAAGCACACCCTAGGAGCCCAAGACCCGAAACATGAGGGCCTTGAGCCCCCAAAAGGTCTCAAATACTGGCGTCAACCGCCTCGTCCCCGAAAGTCCCTGCCTGGCTCTGAATTCGGCTGGCGCTCTGCGCCAGGCGAGTCAGCTTCCTCCGCATGAACTCCCGCCGCGCCAGCGCCATGCGCACTGAACGGGTCAAGCGGAGGAGGCGGGGGGGGGGCACGCCAAACCTCGCTTCCGATTGGCTGCCCTTTGTTGAGTTGCTCTACCTAGAGTCTCCTTCTGACCCTTACACAGTGGTTGGTCATTACCCACAACTTTCCGGGGTTTTGACCCCTTTGTCTAGGGGTCATGGAGACTCTAGGTATATCCCCCAGCTAAAGGTCGTGTAGAAAAGCAAATTAGGTCCCAAGGGTCCGTAATAGACATGCCAGTTCCTTCTAAAAGGTCCAAAGAAAAGCTTTGGGGTCACATCAAAGACCGAATCGCCATGCCAAATGAGTCCTATTCAAATCCCGGTATAAAAATGAAATGCCCAAAGCCAAGTAAAGAGCTCAAGGGTGGATGCTCAGACCCATTTTTTTGTTTGGGCAGGTCCCTCAGCCCTCCCGTTCTGCTTAAAGGTTATCATGTCAACCCTCTACTAAAAACATAGTATATATCATGGAAAGCCAGGAGTTTGTTTTTCGCTAAAGCTGGAGTAGCGCTTCCATTTGGTTAAGACCCCTGGAAAAGATTTTTTAAAAAAACAGTGTCAAGTGATAAATTCCTTTTAAAACCAACAGGGGGGAAAACAACAACATATTCTTAAGCAAATGGAGTAGGGGAATGAATCCTTCCGTCCGGGTCCCGATTGTGTGGCTCCAACTTGGCGTGTTTGCTTGTCCGTTTCCGTTTCCGTCCAGGCCTCCGCCTTGGATCACACGGGTGCTGCGCATGTACATGTTGTAGCGCTCCTGAGGCTCCAATGGTTCACGCCCGCCGCCCGCCCGCCGCCCCCGCCCCAAAGAGAAAGAGGAAAGCATAAAATGGCGCCCTGACTCCCGTCTGTGACGGCCATATGGGAAGCCAAGGCGAGCGACTAGCTGCCGGCATTTTTTGTTTGCAGAGTTGGGTTAACTTGGATCCGGACCCCCAGATCCAGAATGGATACATGTCCTAGCGCCGGGTAGAGACATGTTATGACCCATGACCATTCTACCCCCTACTCCCAACACCTCTTTTTTCGGGGTGTCATGTCAACCCTTTACTTACACAAAGTATTTACCATGGAAAACCAGGTTTTCAAAACCAACAAAGAGTGCATTTGGATATCAGTGTTTCCTTGTGTTGTGCCCAATCAGTGCTGTTTTGCGCTTAGCTGGACAACCAGTTCCATGGCGATTTGAAGAGCTTGCAGCGAGGGAGGCAGAGTTTGTCGGGTTTCGCACGGTTGGCGCATGAGGATTTCGGGAACAGTTGGCCCAGGTTGGCCCCCACCCTTCTGGGTGTTGCCTGAAATTGGTTTCAAAGGGTCCTCTTGGGAACGACTGACCGCTGCAGCCTTTGTGCAAGGGGGGGTGGGTAGTTGAGAGCCTATAGAGGTCGTACAAACAACACCAACACTGTGGATTGTTTATTTGGGAACCCAAATGCGTCTGTCTTTTTGAGGGTACCCCTGTTTGGGTGGTTCTAAAAAGGAAAAAAGGAATTTCACCGATGTGGATGGTTCCTCTTTGAAGACAAACTGAAATGGTTCCCTCGGGGACCTCAAATAAATGAGTTGCCTTTGGGGTTATGGCTAACGGGCTGGACATAATCCCCTGCCTGCGGTATGATTCTGTCAGGGCGCAGCCTTTTTTCGGAATCCACTGGTGGCAATCAGCCAGTGCAGCCACAATGGGTGGCTGGTCTTTTCAATCGAAGGCAGTCCTTTAAAAGAGGTGGATTAAAAGACATACTCGTAGGTGGGTGTGTGAAAAATATGGATCCTTTTTTTGAACAAGTTAGAAAGGAGCGCCCCATCATTTTGGAGCTGCCAACCAACCCACCGGGCAACCCACCAGGCAACCAACCAACGAACCCGCGAACCCACGAACCAACGAACCAACCAACCAACCAACCAGCCAACCAGCCAACCAACCAACCAAACCAACCAGCCTACCAACCAACCAACCAACCAACCAACCAGTCAACCAACCAACCAACCAACCAACCAGCCAACCAACCAACCAGCCAACCAACCAACCAACCAGCCAACCAACCAACCGGCCAACAAACCAACCAGCCACCCACCCAACCAACCAACCAGCAAACCAACCAACCAGCCAACCAACCAACCAGCCAACCAACCAACCAACCAACCAACCAGCCAAACTTGGCTGTTTCCCGTCCTTCTCAGCCCGGAGAGCTGTGACATACTGCCGGTCTCTATATGCGCGCCAGACCCTGGCCGTATCTGCATGCGCCAACGCTCGGACATATCGCTGCCCGGTGGCGACTCCAAAGACCTACTGTGGACGGACGAAATGATGTCAACGCCTGACTACATAAAGCAACCAGTGTTTTTTTGCTTTCCCCCGCCAAATATACCCGTTAACAACTCTCAAACAAGAGGGTAGGTGGAGCACGTGCCTTCAGCTTGTGCTTGCCCAACAGTTAAACAGTTTCTCTAGTCTTGTCAGTCACAATGACCCGTGGTAAAAATATGTGTTTCCTAAATTGGATATATGAAATAGGAGAGGTGAGGCTTCTTGCTTTGCCGCGGGAAGTGACGGAAGTCTACATTTGGAAGCATGTCCAAAACCGTGTGACAGCAACAAATGTGAACATAACCTTCCATTGCTTGAGTCCTCTGAAGCACATATTTCCAGCATAGTGATAGATTAACTGCAAAGTCAAGAGGGCAACATAAAACATATTCTTATGACATGGAAGCAACTACCCAGTCCAGAATTTAACACTCTGTCAAGTGGGGTGCGCGGCGCAGGTTTGTAAGTTCGGGCTACACGTGTTTTGGCTGGCAAAACGGATTTCTCTCCTGGACGAAATACTCAAAGCAGAATTAGGCAAAGACAAAAACCATGATTTCGAACCCAACCCCGAAAAAGCAAAGCAATGCATGTCAAGTGAGTATACATCGCATTGCGCACGGGGACTTATGTCCATCAGCCGTGTTCGAGTGCATCCCAACTAGAACTCATAGCCAAGTCAACGCTAGCATCCCCCCCATCTTAAGGCATTGGAGGGTTCCTCAAAGTTTGCGCAGAAGAGAACATATTGCAGGATGGAACTTTGCCACATATAGGAATTCCAGGGGTTCACCGTGTTGGGGATACTGTGGCCATGCTAGGTGCAGTCAAGTGAAGTCAAAGTGCAGCCCAATCAAGTCGGGAAGTCGGGTCAAGTGCGTCGTGACGCCGAGCAAGTCAACTTTAAAGTCAAGCGGAGTCATGTACAGTTGGCCAAGAAGAGCAACACCAAAAGTGGAGTGAGTCAGGTGGAAATCGACGGCAAGACCAGCCAAGTCCAGAGTCAGTGTGCGTCGAGTGTCGCGCGCGCCAACTCAGGCCATGCGGGGTGTACCACAGGCGCCGAACCGCGAAAACCCGTCGGAGTTCCGACCCGCACAGCTGCGAAGCGACAATTCCCGCGACAATCCGACCTCCGACTGCCTGGAGTCTCCTTCTGACCCCTCAAAAATAGGGTCCTTGCCATGATGACCCCCCAAAACATAGGGTCTGTACACAAAATAATGGGGTCATTGACCCCCTTTTTTAGGGGTCATGGAGACTCTAGGTGTATGAAATATGCGCGTAATTTGACCCATGAGGGTAAGTGTGGGCAAATATGAGGCATACAGTCGGGTTGTTTGGGATTTTTTAGAGAAGACGCCCCTGTCCCCTGTCCCCTGCGGTGATACCAGCGGAGATGGTAACCACTCCCTGGGAAAATAGCAAGGTAACAATCCACAGACTGCCCAACAATCTGTGCTGACCCGTAGCACCAGAAGGCCATGATAGCTGACCTCACGGTGACTCTGGGTGCAATACCTAGGCGTGTCCGCAGGGCATGCAACATGTCAACAGTCAACATATGGCCGGTCAGCGTGAGCTGAGTTGGCTTGGAATCAGCGGCTGCGCTCATATGACCGTCGTGATTCAGTTTTCGTCATACCGGACCACAAGGCAACAAGGCAACAATGCAACTGCTGCAAATCAGCGGCCTCGCGACGATGCAGTGGCAGGCCGATTCCAAATGACAAGCAAGTCATCCACGCGGCACTCTGCTGCATGCCCCTGCTTTTGCGGACATACCAGCGGAGATGGCAACCACTCCCTGAGGACAATGGCAAGGTGACAATCACAGGATGGTCCAACAATGTTGCTGGTGTTCAGTAGGGAATGTGGGAATGAACTCAGTCCCCTTAAAGGAAGCCAATCAAGTGGGTGCCCCGTCTTTCGAGATGGAACACCTGTGTTTGTGGTTTTCAAAGGGAAGCCAAAGGGACAAATCAAACGCACCCTCCCTTTAGAGTTCAATTCCTATGGCCGTCCGGCAAGGCCCAATTTAGATGACAATCCTGGCAAGGGACCAAAGGTTGACCCAACTTAGATGACAATCCCGAAGGGCAAGCAACGAAACGTCTATTCATTTCATCATTGGTTTTAACTAAGTCCCAGGGTTTGATTGATTGATTGATTGATTGATTGATTGATTGATTGATTGATTGATTGATTCATTCATTCATTCATTCATTCATTCATTCATTCATTCATTGATTGATCAGGGATTCCCCAAATGCGGAAAAGGGAGCCAACATCAAAAAGGTTGAGAGTTTGGTAGCAGTCAGCTATCCCAAAAAGATGACATAGGTTGAGAATCCTACATGGATTGTGTGAGGAAAGCAAATGACATGGTGTCTCGGATCTCATAAGACAATCACTCTATTCATCTCCGGAAAAAGGGCACAGCAAAGATACACGTCCGAGAGCAATCGGCTGCTCAGGTTCTATGGACATATGTGTTTAAATAGCGAGCCTTTGGTGGACATTATAATTTGGCGGGGTTCATGTCCGCGAACAACGCTTTAAGAGTGCAGTGCTGCTTCACCAAGAAAGTTAAAAGGTATTCCCCAGATTCACTTGAACCCTTCCCCAAAAAGAATACTTGTTGAAAGGAATCCCTTTTATGGAGGCCCTGGGTGAGGGGCAAGCAACACATGGGCGCGTGTTCAACTAGTTGAAACATATGTTGCAACAACCCGACATTTCAAGGTGGCTGGTGGCTCGTGTTTTTTAGGCTTTGGCCCCAAAATTGGTTGGCTTCCTGTTGGTTTCCCTTTATAAACCACCCAAGGACAGGCACCTTTCAAACAAAACTTTCGCATCCAAATAACGAAGACCCACCCAGTGAATTGGAAGGAGGATCGTTGCTCTGCTTGCAGTGCCGTCCGTTTGCAAGGTCACTTCGAAGGGCAAAGTGCCATCTCGGTGTTTCGTCAAAATGGACCCGACCGCGTGGGTGTCGCTCATTCCTTTTTGCTAAGTCCCAATCAAACACCCTTCAAAAACATGAATGCCTCATGAATGCAGACCCCAGCAAAAACTCACTTGCCCAAGGGACCCGGAAAGAAAAGGTTCACCTTTTGGCACTCTCACTAAACAAAAACAAAACAAAACAAAAAGAAAAAACGGCAACGCCAAAAGGTCAAAAGGTTGGCTTTGGGCAGCTGAGAAACCAAGTAGTCCTCATGTTGAGACCCCCATCTTTTCGAAGTCTCTGGCTTGTGAGCTAGGGCCATCTTATATTCTAGGCCCCTTGATGTCCATGGGGAAGGGTCAAAGAGAATGGTTAAACCACGAGTCCCTCCCGAGCCCTACATTCTTCGAGCAGGCTTTTTTGTGCCTTGCAATCGTGCAGGTCTCGACAACGCCACACGCGCCTCTGGATTTTGGTGGCTGCTAGGTGTAGTCGCTGCTGTTTCACCCGTGCAACTTGTCGCCTGTCACCGCGCGTCTTCCCTCCTTTCCCGCATGGTGGTGTCGCGGTGGTCTTCCCTTGACAAAACACAGGCCGACAAGCACAAACTTATGAAACATGCCAACTCAAAAACTATTGGTTTCCCTTTCGTCCAAACAAAGGTACCCTCAAACAAATTGTGCACCTAGATGTTTCATGGCTTGAACAAGAAAGCGGATCTCAATGGTATCACTCAACGGTGTGGAGGAACAAAATCCACTTTGCACCACTTGGTTTCAGTGAACACCTACTCATTTCCGATCGAGTGGGCCAAACTAAGCTAAAACTTTACATCCAGCACCAAAATTGTCTTAAAGTCCAGCAACTAAGGGATGAGCTAATCAATATTGGTTAAACAACCACCTACCAACTGGTGCAGGAGTTTGTCAACATCAGGAGCCCTTGTCAGATGCCCTTAAGAGGGTCCAGGACCATCCATACCAACCCCAAGTAAAGGGGCATCTTCACCATTGCACATAAGGTCTCAACGGATCAACAGAGATGAAATGAGGCTGGACTGGGCATGACTTGACACCCAATTCAATGTGTGACACACGGTGGCTTGTCTTATCATCACCTTCAAAACCGCCCTTTGGCAACGGAGCACCGTGCCATCTTCACACACGCAGCCATTTCCTTGGTTGCTGTTGACCTCTGTGCAAACAACAAAACTGGTCGTGGCTGGACACTCCACTGTTTCGCAAAAAGTTGAAGTCTAAAGATCCAACCCAATAGCGATCAAGTATCTAGGCCCTGGAATTCAAAAGGCCTTTTCAGAAACGGCCGTTTGTCGAAGAGCCATTTGTGGCAAGAATGCATGTTTTCACTGGTTCCGAAGAGCCATTTCTGGATTCCCATGTCCCTGGACGTCGGAGGCCATTTCTGAAATGGCCTAGTACCCCTCGGCCATTTTAAGAAAATGCTCGGCCATTTGTGGGTCTTCACCAACGGCCTATTGAGGAACATCAAACGGCCAATTCTGAAATGGCTCTTAGGTATGGCATTGCTTTGCGATTCAGTGTGCTTCAGTGGGTTGGGGTTGTCTTGGCCAATAGCTCTGAGAGCTTTTCAGCAAGGCAAACTACATTTTTACAAACCCTGGGCGTCCTCGCCCATGTCTGAAAAGGCCTAGGTACCCTCGACCATTCTAAGGAAACGCTGGACCATTTTAGGGTCCTTACAAACGTCTGTTTAAAATTCGTCGAGCGGCATTTTCCGAAATGGCTGTTGTCATGGCCCGGCAGCCAGGAGCCTTGTGTGTTATGTGAGCTTGGTCGGCTTAACGCTCGCTCTTACGTGTGCATGTTGGCGCAATGGGCGTCTTACGGCAGTCTCGGAGAAGCTGGAGCGTGGACAAAGCGTGGACAAAGCGTGGACAAAGCGTGGAAGAGCCATTTGTGGGCGTGGAAAAGCCATTTCTGGGAGTGGAACATCCATTTAGGGGAGTGGACAAACCGTGGACATCCCGCCGAATGCCACCTCAGCCTGAAAGGCATGCAAGTTAAAGTGGCGGAGCTGAAGTCTACAGAGCTCAACCTTTCAAAGACAAAAGGCGATTCTAAACGAGCCTAGCTTGAACACGGGCTTGCGTGATGGCTGGACTACGGCCGCGGTAGCTTATTGGCTAACATCGAGCTCCACAAATGGTTGTCCAAGGCTACTGAAAACGTGGGTTTTTCTTTTTAGGTCCTTCGACAAACAGCCAGTCAAAGGAATTTGGAAGTTCAGGGAGTCAAATTCTGACTTGGCTAATGTGAGCTTGGGGCCTATATGATTGCCAGCTTTGTGTGGGGGGGGGGTCTTGCTTATTGGCCAACATGGTAGTCCAGAAATATGGTCTTACTTATTGGCCAACATGGGAATCCAGAAATGGCTCTTCGGAACCAGTGAAAACATGCATTCTTGCCACAAATGGCTCTTCGACAAACGGCCGTTTCTGAAAAGGCCTTTTGAATTCCAGGGATGTTGGCCAATAAGTAAGACCATATTTCTGGACTACCATGTTGGCCAATAAGCAAGACCCCCACACAAAGCTGGCAATCATATAGGCCCCAAGCTCACATTAGCCAAGTCAGAATTTGACTCCCTGAACTTCCAAATTCCTTTGACTGGCTGTTGTCGAAGGACCTAAAAAAGAAAAACCCACGTTTTCAGTAGCCTTGGACAACCATTTGTGGAGCTCGATGTTAGCCAATAAGCTACCGCGGCCGTAGTCCAGCCATCACGCAAGCCCGTGTTCAAGCTAGGCTCGTTTAGAATCGCCTTTTGTCTTTGAGAAGGTTGAGCTCTGTAGACTTCAGCTCCGCCACTTTAACTTGCATGCCTTTCAGGCTGAGGTGGCATTCGGCGGGATGTCCACGGTTTGTCCACTCCCCTAAATGGATGTTCCACTCCCAGAAATGGCTTTTCCACGCCCACAAATGGCTCTTCCACGCTTTGTCCACGCTTTGTCCACGCTCCAGCTTCTCCGAGACTGCCGTAAGACGCCCATTGCGCCAACATGCACACGTAAGAGCGAGCGTTAAGCCGACCAAGCTCACATAACACACAAGGCTCCTGGCTGCCGGGCCATGACAACAGCCATTTCGGAAAATGCCGCTCGACGAATTTTAAACAGACGTTTGTAAGGACCCTAAAATGGTCCAGCGTTTCCTTAGAATGGTCGAGGGTACCTAGGCCTTTTCAGACATGGGCGAGGACGCCCAGGGTTTGTAAAAATGTAGTTTGCCTTGCTGAGAAGCTCTCAGAGCTATTGGCCAAGACAACCCCAACCCACTGAAGCACACTGAATCGCAAAGCAATGCCATACCTAAGAGCCATTTCAGAATTGGCCGTTTGATGTTCCTCAATAGGCCGTTGGTGAAGACCCACAAATGGCCGAGCATTTTCTTAAAATGGCCGAGGGGTACTAGGCCATTTCAGAAATGGCCTCCGACGTCCAGGGTAGGTTGTTCAAAACGGAGGGTCGGACAAATCGAACCCTCATGGGTTGTTCTTCTAAAATAGGAATCGGAACCCCAACAAATGGAGTTCAATGTTCCTTTCGGTTTCCCTTGAAGACCAACTCCTTTTAAAGGGTTCCTAGCCACTCCAAAGACGATCCAAATGCGCATTTGGAGTTCCATTGTTCAAGGGCGCATTATCTGTTTCTTGTGGCTTCCCTTTAACACTCCAATAAACAGGGGGTACAGAGCCTGAAAAAAGGACAAACTCGTCTCTTGGCGTTTCCCTTTCCAGCTGGAAGCACTTCCCGGATCTTTCAGCTCAGCACACCCCCGGCAAAGAAACAACCAGCCCGGGCTAGGCAAAGAGAAACTGACAACTTCCATTTGCTGAACTCCCCTGAAAAGAAACATCCAATAGTGATAGTTTCCTTTTAAAACCAATGGCGGGGAATAACACACATCATATTCTCGAGCGAATGGAAGATAATGGTAGCTGGGAGCCGCAAGATTTGAATAACCCAGGAATTTCCATGAGAACTACCCCCGAAACCTCCAAATATCCGCTTGTGTGAGTTGGTATTGCTGGAACTTCCTGGTTTTCCTGGCAAATACCTCCCTTTGAGTAGAGAGTTGACATAATACCAACCCAAAAAAGGGTATTTGGAGGTTTCGCCCAGTCGACGACTTTGCTTTCGGAAAGGGGGTCTCTGCACTTTCAGGTCTTCCTAGCCAAAGACCCGTGCCATACGAGGGCCTTTTTCTGGGGAAGACTCGCAAAATGGAATTGGGGCCCCCGAAATTCTTCCCCCACCCTCCCCCTTAAGGTACTTCAAAAATGGCTCCATGACCCCATTATTTTGGGCAATGACCCCATGTTTTAAGGGTCATGGAGACTCCAGGTAGAGGACATGGGAAGAGGAAAATGGCTGGCTACAAAGCCCCCCCTCATGAACAAGAACAAACCCAAGATCTCATTATTCATTATTTGAGCCTTCGGGGGACAAGGCTCACCGTAAATGGATCTCCAGTCGAAATCCCTCCCACCAATTCCGTTTTTGAGGACTGGCACAAACAAGTAACCGAACTTTTATTTGCCACGAACCAAAAATGGTCTAAACCCAAAAAGCTTACAGCCCAGGAACTCGGGAGTGAGGAACTTCAGCCAGCGTCCGCTTTTCTTTTTCCCGCCTCGCCAACCAAATCCGAGCCATGGCCTGGATCTTCGTCATCTCCTGGCGCTCGCCAAACCACCCCTCGCGCTGCTTCAAGGGGCGAGTGTACGTCAGGTATAAGTGGCTAGCAAGCCTGGTTCTAACCCACTGAAGCCAGACTTAGAACCATGGTGAGTGGGTTATAACCATAGTTATTACCGACTGACCAAGTACCCTGCCCCTTGAAGTAGGGACTCCGATGCACCCCATGGATACTGTGGATGGACGAAATCCATGTCGCACCATCTGAGAAACCCAGGAATGATGATTCCACTGTAAATACCAACAACAACGGTTTCCTATGGTTTCAAAGTGGTGCAGGATTCTGTCGATCCACAGTAGGGGGTTTTAGAAGCAATGACAAGGGGTCTTGCTAAGGAAGCCATGACCGGCAGAAGGGGGTTTGACCGTGGCTCATGTACATCTTTGCCGCTGCTGGCTTCGGAAACAAAAACAATTGTTGGACTTGTTGCGAAGCCAAAAGGCAGTCAACAATTTCGGTTCGGGAAACCCGAAATAAGCCATTTTGGGAGTTTGAGCAACACAAGCTGGAGACAAAACCGTGCGTTAATATCGCTAAGCTGTACTTAGCCCATTTTTCTGAGGGCTCCTTCTAAAGACAAACAGTTGCCCAACACACAGAGATTGTGTGTGCCCTCTACTCCAAATATCCACAGTTGTGTGTGTGTAACAAATATTTGGAGAACCTGGTTTTTTATGGCAAATACCTCCAGTCAGGCCTGAGTATGGGGGTGGTTTCTGTCACGGATAATTATGACAATTGATGGAAACATTGGAAACAACCTTTAGCATTAATTAGGTTGTTCGAACTGTGGCCTCGTTTCGTGGTAACTTGATTCTTTCAATGAACAAGCAGGTTGTCAGATACTCCAAATACCCGCCTTTTTTAGTTGGTACCATGTCAACCCTTCACCAAAAAGATATTTGCTTCATGGAAAACCAGGCCGCTCATAAAAAACATACCAACTAACAAAACGTTTTGGAGCTTTCGGGGGTACCAGTTCCACGAAAGCTGGGCGTACTCAAACTTGTTTCTTCCAAGCAGCGAGGGAGCTCACTGGTCGAAGTCGATGTTGTTTTTGCTTGACCCCTGAAACTGGAAGCTCAACGCGCTCGTTACCTTTAGCTTGGAACGAATTCGAAAAGTTCAACAACTTGAACACTAATTTAAAACAAATATGCGAGAATCGAATGAAGAAACCACGCATAAACACTGGGCAATTGAACTGTTGAGCACATCAACAGCACCATGAGTTGAAGAGTTGAACAGCTGAACACAGAAACCTTAAGCTGATGTGTTGATATATTCTCTGTGTTTCAAAACCAAGAAGCAAAAACAAGCTACACAAACAAATGTCATTTGAAACAATCAAGACACAACAACAAACTACGCTAAAACAAAATATATCAAGTCGAGACCCCCGCCCTTGTTTGGCAAACGCAAAGGAATGCGTTGGCCTTGCTGAGAAAGCATCGATGCCGCACCACAGGCCTCCGTGCCGAAAGATGGACTGACGGGTTCGATGGACATCCCGGGGAAAGAGAGGCCCCTTTCTGGCGAAAAGCCCGGGCCTTCTGGCGCAGATATGATGAGAAACCGGAAATGGTTGGCTCCTCCTTGGGGTCGCCTTCTTTGGGTTCTTGCGAAAAACCAACCTTCTTGCGAAATGTTCGGGATTCCTAAATTGGTCTCCTGCTTTTGGTAGCCTTCTTTTGGTAACTGCTTTTGGTAGCTCCGCCCCCCCAAAAAAAAAAGAAGACAAAAAAGAGAGAAATAAATGGGGCCCGAACTGAAAACTCCCTCCGAAAAAAAGGGACAAGGGAAGTGACCTGCTGGGTGTGTGGGATACTGGGCTCTTGGAAGTGGGCTGGCATTTTGAGGGACCCGTTCTCATTTGATTACCTAAGCTGGAAAGCCCCATTGAACCACCAGGCGAGTGCTTTTTTCTTCTTCTTTTTTTTTAAACAGCACGTCACTTCCATGGACCCAGTTGGCCGAATTGACCCAGAGGGGGTCGGTCAAAGGTTCTAATCAACATTGTCCTGCGAAAGGTTGAGATGAGTTTCTGCTAGATTGTCCAACGGTGAAACCCGAGAGCCGTGGTTAGAGCAAACCCGCCACAGGTCAGCATCCTCGACACACAACCGCGAGAAAGTTAGAGAGAGAGAGAGAGTGAGCTTTGATTTGGAAGAGTCGGGGTTTCCCCATCTTCAAACATGCTGAAACCACTCTTATTGAAACCACCCTCTTCTGGTCTCCTAAAGAGGCAAGGGTCCGGTTGCTGCAAAAATGAACCCCCTGCCCAGACGTAATGGGTTCCCCGAAAGTCCAAGGGGTTTTGAGCCCTCAGCCTCTAGGGGGTGAAAGGGAGAGGCATCTCGCCCTGTGCTTTCACAGAACAAAAGGTAGCTACCCAGTAAGGCTGGATTCTTTGTAGTCCCGTCTCTTGGCTTTTGGGAGAACGGTCTCGCCAAACGAACAGTGGAATACCAGCAGCTCTGGTTGCTCACATCGTCTGCACTGGCTATTCTATAACACCAGCTCATTTTTAAGCCTTGATACCCACAGGTGAGATTGGTATGATTGAATTCACCGCATCCGGTGGACTGTCAAGTGTTCTCACCGGTGAAGTCCCAAACAGGGCATGCCCCGAATATGGTCGATTTGTGGTGTCCGTGTCCCACTGTTTGGAACTTCGCAGCTTGAAGGTTTACTTGGAAGGCGATGGAAACTGGGAGCCCCAAGGCGTGAACAACCCGCGTTCCGCTTCGCCAGAAGTGGCGGTCCAAAAGCACAAGGCCGCAAGCACCGTCTTGAACCTAGTGACACACGAACAAACCAGAAGTGGTCAAACCCAACTGGCCACATGAACGAACCCCCATGAAACAAAAAAAAACATAGACACACCCGCAATCTTGGAATCTTGACCCATGAATGACCCATGAAGGTCATTCAGGGCAGCTCAAGCAGCAATGAAAGAGAAAGCTTGGCCAATCTAGAAGGCATGGTAGCAGCAGTAGCAGCAGGAGTACCAACAGCAGTAGCAGCAGCAGTAGTAGTTGTAGGAGCAACTACAGGAACAGGAGCGAAAGCAACAGTGTCAGTAGCAACACATATGTAGAACCGCTAAACGTCTGGCAAAGTTTCTCTAATAAAACGGAATCATATCCACTGAGCGCCGCGCTGAAATCTCTTTCGCGTCAGTATGCCACGAATCCGCTTCTGCGCAGGCGCGGAGCGGATTCTGTGTGCCCAACAACTCCAATTGTAGGCGGCGGATGAAGAAAACCAAAAGGTCTCCCGAAAAAGACCGAACGCCTTTGTCGGACACTTCGCCATCCATCTGCGTCATGTGATGACCCCTTTACTTGGGGTTTATTGTTGGGAATCCGCCTCTGAGGGGGATGAGGGGGAAAAGAGGCATGACAAACATACACATTTCGACATGTTAACCCTTGGCCAAGTGCAAGCGAAGCAATTCACTCACTGACGCGCGTTTTTTTTGCTTCGCTGTGATAGATTGCTCGCCGCGTCCAAAGTCTCCAAACGCCCGGTTCACTCACAAAGGAGAACTGCCGGTTGCATCAACCGCGACGAGGTTTGAAATGCATTGCCAGGCATGCTGGTGCATGCGAAAAAATCGGGCCGTTCGTGTCTTAGGCCTCCCCTCCAGGTGGTCTGTGCTCTTGTGGTCCCTCTGAATTGCTTTTCTTGCGAATCGCTTTGAAGACCCACACGTTTGACCCAAGCATTTGCATGGGGTCCCCTCGTTGACATACACGTTCCAAACTTGGGTGTGTCTTAAAACGGGAACCCCGTACGCAGATGTCAATGTTCCTCCAGAATCTTGAGGCAAAAGCTGATCAGTGATCATCGTTTTACATCAGAGCCACGGGTGGCTGGGCGGCCCAAGACGGTGCTTGTTGGTTCGATTCGTCGACAGGCAGGGAATGAGAAATGGAATGACCTGATAAAACCCGTCCTCGAATACGTGTCCTTTGAGAAAACTTTTTCGAGGTGCATCCCTGGTTTTCCTTTAAGGGGGCTGCCCCCAAGCTGGTTCATTCCCCTGCTCGCCGGCGGGAATTTTTCCTCCGGCCGCGCGAAAGACTTCCCGTCGATCTCAAAGCAGCCACACGGGCGGCGGCCGGAAGGTGAAGCCCGCGTCCTTCCAGGCGTCCGCCGTCTTGGGGATCTCTTGGCCCGACCAGAGGTACCAGCCCAGGATGTTGCAAATCCCCGCCTGAAGCGAGGGATGTGAAGGGGCGAAACGGCGGCGGGCTTCTTGTTGGGTGTTGTCGCAAAAGGCACACCCCAGCGGAGTTAGTCCGAGTTGAACAAGAGTTTGAAGAAGGGGAACTGAGAGTGAGAAAGTCTGGTGAGCGCGGCCAAGGTTTATTGGAAAGCCGCGCTATCCCCAAAATGATACTATTGTCCTTTGGATAAAAACTCAAACTCATTCCCTCTAAAACATGTAGTAACTACTTGCATAATATCTACGTTTTTATCTACATTACTTTACTAATCTACCAAGCTCTCTTTTGAATATCAAAGCCACATAAAAGGAAGCCTTCCAGCAGAGCCGTCCGCCGGAGAAGCGAGCTTCCAGCGTCGAGCCCAAGGCTTACAGCTCAGGGAGAAAAGGGGAACTTGCCTCTTGTGGTTTCCCCGAAAAAGTAAGCACCCAGTAAACACCTGGAGTCTCCCTCCCTGACCCTCTAAAACTGGGCCGAACTTAAGGAGTGATCACCCCTTTTTCTACCTGGAGTCTCCTTCTGACCCTTAGACAAAGGGGTCATAACCCCAAAATTTTGGGTAATGACCAACCATTTTTAAAGGGTCATGGAGACTCCAAGTTCAAGAAAAGAGCTGATCTTGGTCTCCCCAAGCCCTAACGAGCAACAGCTCAATCACAGCAAATGCCATTAAACCCAAAAGGTCTCTGCGGAGCTTGTAGGGTCACGCCAAGGACCGTCCGAATCGTGTGGGCATTTGGCAATGGGTCAAAACCCCGTACCCCCAGTGAACATCCCAATCCCCACTAAGATAGACTAAGATGGGTGGTGCACCTACCCCAAAATGGTACCATTGGTGTTGACCCAGGCATTTTTGCTTTTTCCGCAAGAGGAACTGGTAAACCTCCGAAATATGTCTGTTCCGGGAACTCCACCAAGAGATCAAACAAAAAGCGGGCAATGGGGGTCCAGTAGTTGGTTAAAGCGAAATTGGGGGTTGATCAATATTCCTGGCCAAATTAGGAAGGGTAACTTTTCCCATGTGAGAGAATATCATATTTTTGATGACTTTCCCCGATGGTCACCCCATGCAAAGGACCTATTGATCAAGCCCAACAAATGTTGACCCCAAATAAATAAGCGTTGCAAGAGGGGCACCCTCCCATCAATCCACCAGGGGTGCATTGATCTGGGGTTCCCAATGCCCTGCAACAATAATTTTGAAAACTGCTTGTGGCAAGCAAAAGCAAGAAGAACACCCTGATCTATGAAAAAGCAAGGGTTTTTCGATCCGGGTCAACCTTCGTTGCTTTTGAAGGATGTCTTTTCCCGAGGGTCCCCTTTTAGGCGGGCTTTTTCACGGCAACCAAACGGATCCCCGCCATTCTCTTCCATTTGCTTAAGGCCCATGAAAAAAAACACATATCTCCAGCAGTGATAGATTCCTAAAACAAAACAACAAAGGAACGACCCAAAAACATATGGGTGTGGGTCAAAAATAGGGTAACCCCAGAATGGAACCCTGGTAAATGGACACAAAGACTAAAACCTGCGGTCCAATTCCTGATGGTTTAGTTTTGACCACCCGGTCTCTTTTAACGGAGAATGGTCAGTCTTCCAGAGCCGATGCCAAAATTGGTGTGGCTCAAACTTAAAGAGCTACCTGGAGTCTCCTTCTGATCCCTGGAAAAAGGGGTCATAACTCCTTAATTTTGGGCACTGACCCCAGTTTTTAAGGGTCATGGAGACTCCAGGTAGGGTTACGCCGGTTTTAGTCTTTGGTTCCACTTGCCAAGGTATATCAAGCTGCGATTTGGGCACATGTCAGCTTAAACTGAACAAATCGGGAGGGTAACTAGGTCCTCCAGTAGTATA